CTAGAAAGAGAGGGAGTTGGAATAACCCTCTAAAGTTCCCACCTAGAGCTGGCCAGGGCAGATCTGCTCAAGCTCCAGCATGCTACAACATAGCTGTGAAGAACACACCAAGTTATACAGAAGCAAAATGTTCACTTCTGCTACAGAGCCAATAATCATATCACTGATTTTCTTTATTTTATTTTATTTTTTAATTTATTTGACAGGTAGAGTTATAAACAGTGAGAGAGACAGAAAGGTCTTCCTTCCATTGGTTCACTCCACAAATGGCCGCTACAGCTGGCACTGTGCCGATCCAAAGCCAGGAGCCTGGTGCTTCCTCCTGGTCTCCCATGTGGGTGCAGGGGCCCAAGCACTTGGGCCATCCTCCACTGCCCTCCTGGGCCACAGCAGAGAGCTGGACTAGAAAGGAGCAACCAGGACTAGAACCCGGTGCCCATATGGGTGCCAGTGTCACAGGCAGAGATTAACCAAGTGAGCCATGGCGCCAGCCCCAGATCACTGGTTTTTTTTTTTTAATGTGTAAAGCATCTGCCATCAGTCCTTGGGAAAACATTTTTCATTCATTTCACTGAAATAAGTGTGCCAGGAGCAAGAGACAAGTGGGAGAGCCATATATATTTTCCTCCAAGAAGTGCCCTTGGAGGTGGTCACCTGTGGATGTGATGCCTGACTATAGCCTCTCAGCCAGGGCTCTCTCAGACTAGCACACTTCATCTCCACAGACCCAAAAAGTGGATTCCTTTATGTCCAGTGTAGCCTAGAAAGCTCCCCATGGTTGACTCTCGTTTTTCTGCTCTGGAGGAGCAGGGACTGGATCCAGCTCCACAAGGGAGACTGAATACTGCCATTGACTTGTGGGTACATTTATGCAGTCTTCATTATATCTTGCCTTTGTGCTAAGGATGCTAAGGTTCTCCTTTATATTTGTTTAACATAGAGAACACAGAACGTGGGCAATGGCTCACAGATAGAAACATGATTATGCCCTGGTCCTGTCCCCTCCCTTCCACAGACTGAACATTATTGTTCCTTCCTGGGACACCCCCTTCTGCTGCCCCACCCTCTATCCCTGCCTAACTCTTGCTATTTCGCCTTTCATTTCAGTGTCATTGTCTCTCAGAATTTTTTCTGACTGATTGTTTGAACCCCACTTTCTGAAATACTGTGATTCCTATTTATAGTAGCTCATCATTGATATAACACTTGTTCTCAACCAGATACTGCTTCCATTGCTTTACATATGGTAACTGATTTATGTAGAGTGTTGTTGGCTGAGAAATAATAGGCTCAGAGAGAGTAAGAGATTGAGATCGCACAGCTAGTAAAAGGCAAAGGCTAGTTTAGAATCCAGAATTCTTGTTCCAGAATCTGCGAAAGATGCAGTATATTTGGGACAACATTTTCTGATGTGTGTTTGGGGATGCAAAAATAAAACCAAAATTCTATAGTTAACTGTATATTAGACCTACATACTGAGGGCAACTGGTCTGTACTTCCATGGGGACATCCCCTTCCTTCCTCGATATCACACTCTACCTGTGTTTCTAGGACTTTCTCTCACTACAAGTTTGAATTTGCTTCAGAACCACATGTCTAGTAGCAAATGTATGGGCACTTTAGGTTGGACAGTGTACTTAATCTCAAGGATATCAGGGAGCGCTAGAGCTTTCTTGGTAGTTAAAAGTCTAAGATTCATTTTCTTTCATGATTAAATCTGTGTTAGTTAAGGATCTTTTCTGGAATGGTAGCCCAGTGTGACAGAAAGATATTTAAGAAAATCTGTAACAGTGATGGAACTGATAATTAATGATGCTTTTCAGGAAAATCTCCGATCAGGTGATTATTTTTCTTTAAGCTTGACTCTGACACTCCAAAGTTAGATCCTCATAGTCAGGCCAGGTCTGAAGTTTTGCCCTGGATAGGTTACATCCACCCTTTCTAAGCCCAGGTATATCAGACCTCACACTGTCCATGTTACAAGATGCTGTGCCTTCCTGGATACTGGATTTCCCAAAACCCTATCCATCTATAAGCCTTCTTACCAGCCTCACAGTGCCTCTTTACAGTGGACTGTCTCAGGAACTCACACATAATTCTGTGCCTGCAGGGAACTTCCCAACACAGATGTCCAGGAGCAAAGCTATTTAAAATCACCTGCTTGAGAACAGGAACTGAACCTTTGTACAGCAATGGAGAGCACTGCAATCAAGTAGGGGCTCTAAGGGAAAGAAACATGTTGTGAAAGTGTCCAAGGGGTAAGGATTGTCGGGGTATCTTTGACAGCCAGGTCCTGATTCAATCACTGAGGGTATGTCAAGGTAGATGTGGAGCAGCTGATTGGGAAAAATGCCTTGTGAACTCTTTGCCACAGCCCCTGTCTGACATTGTCCTTTCAGACTCCATCCCAGGATACCTGCTGTTCTCTCCAAGAGGCCCTCGCCATGGGTTTCAAAGGAGGTGAGAATTATCTGCCAGGACTCAGCAGGAGAATCCAGTGCCTAAGACATCATCCCAAGGGAATGCTAGAGAAGATGGTGAGAGTTCCCAGGTCCCAAGAGCTGCTCATGAGCCAGACCCTGCAATTTCTTCAAGACAGAGGGGCTGTCCCTCGGAGCCATCTGTACAGTTCTCTTCACCTCTTTTCCTCATCCAGGGCTACTGCTATTCCCCTGTGTGATGAAGCCAGCACAGCGCTGGGGACGTCATCCAGGAAAGCCAGGGCTACAAAAGGAGGACGCACAGAGCATGGGAGCCATGTGAGTACTAACTGCTCCAAGTGATGGAGTCAGCATGGTGCACACAAGTAGATGCCTTGGGTCAGGCCCTGGTGAACTGTGCCATAATTCTGGGTATTGTGACAAGAGAGCTCTTAATTAGGCAAGCCATGTCACTCACATAACAAGGCGGTGTGCCTCTTGCTGACACTGTGATGCTACTGCGTAGTGAATCCTCATGCTTGAACAACACCCCTGAGTAGCAGATCTTCTCACTTGATTGTCTTTGCTTTGGTTACAGAAAGACTAAGATCTCAAAATCCAGCATACTTTAACAAGTGGGCAGGACTTTCTGTTATAATGTGGAGGTATACTTGTTTTTTCCACATCCTCACTAGCATTTACTGTTTTTTGATTTATATGAGAGCCATTCTAAGAGGGCTGAGGTGAAACCTCATTGTGGCTTTGATTTGTACTTTCCTGATGGCTGGTGGTGATCCTAAACATTTTTTCATGTGTCTGCTGGCCATCGAAATTTCTTCTCTTCTTTCTTTAAAGAAAGATTTTTATTTTATTATTTGAGAGACAGAGTTACAAAGAGAGGGAGGGAGGGAGGGAGAGAGAGAGAGAGACTTCTTCCATCTGCTGGTTCACTCCCCAAATGGCTGCAATGGCCAGAGTTGAGCTGAACCAAAGTTGAAGCACCCTGCATACCAGGCATAAATCCTGCTTTCTCTGAATGAATGATCTTTCTGATATGTTGCTGGTTTGATTAGGTAGTATTTGTTGAGGATTTTGCATCTATGTAAATCAGGTTATTGGTCTAAAGTTCTCTTTCTCTGTTGTGTTTTTCTGGTTTAGGAATTAGGGTGATGCTGCCTTCATAGAAGGAGTTTAGGAGGATTCTCTCCCTTTCAGTTGTTTTGTATAGCTTGAGAAGAATTGGGATTAGTTCTTTAAATGTCTGGTCGAATTTAGCAGTGAAGCCATCTGGTGCTGGGCTTTTCATTGTTGATTGTCGCTCCCCCTCTTCGTGGAGGAACGACACTAAACCCTGCCTAGGCTTCATATCCGAGTCACGGCACCATTATGTCGCTCCCCCTCTTCGTGGAGGAACGACACAGGACCCTGCGCTGTTCTTTCGTCTGCTCGGCCCTCCCCGGGTTTGCTGCTGGTTCTTCCCGGGTTGGCTACTATCCCTTCCACCTCCGTGGAAGGGCAGTTCCCCCTGGCCACATTCCCCACTTCCGCAGGGGAGCGGCACACCGCCGGCCGGGTCTCTCGGGGGCTGCACGGGTGTTCCTTCAGCTAGATGTTCCCCATAGATGTTCCTGGTGCATGCCGTCTCTCTCCTCCTTTATAGTCCTCCTCCGCCAATCCCAACTCGGCTGCCCACGCCGAGTACGCTGCTCTCCAATCAGGAGCAAGTCCTACAGTTTATTAGTTGAACTGGAGGCAGCTGTGCGGAAGCTGTTTACTTCTCTCCCAGCGCCATATTGTGGGAGAGCAGATGCATAGAATAAGTCTTAATTCGAGTAACTTAGTCTAGTCCGGATTGCTCCCCCAGTTGATAGTCTTTATTACTGATTGAATTCCATCTTGGTTATTGATCTGTTTAGATTTTTGTGTCTGCTGCCTCACTTTTAGTAGATTGTATGTGTCCAGGTTATATCCATTTCTTCGCTCGTTGTAGCAATTCCTGGTGATTCTTTTTATTTCTGTGCTATTTTTTGTTACATTTCCTTTTTCATCTCTGATTCTAATGATTGGGTTTCTCCTTGGTTTACTTTTTTTGTTGTTTATTCAGGCTAATGGTGTTTCAATTTTTGTTTATTTTTTCCAACAAAAGATTTTCATTTCACTGATCTTTGTGATTTTTTTGTTTCAGTTTGTTTGTTTCTTATCTAATTTAATTATTTCATTCCTGCTACCAACATTAAATTTGATTTGTCATTTTTCTGGGTCCTTGAGATACATTGATTGCTTAGTTATTTCCAATTATTAATACAGGCACTAATTGTTACATAATTCCCTCTTAACTCTTCTTTCTGTATCCCATAAATTTTGATATGTTGCATTGTCTTCTTCATATTTTTCCAAAATTTTTTGAATTCTCTTTTAATTTCTTCTATGACCCACTGATCATTCAGGAGGATGTTGTTCAGTCATGTATTTGCATGTGTTCTAGAGTTTCTTGAGTTCTAATTTTCAGATTCAGTTCCATTGTGGTCCAAGGAGATGCATGCTATGATTTCATTTATTTTGAATATGCTGAGACTTGCTTCATGGCCTAGTATATGGCCTATCCTAGAAAAAGTCCCATGCACTAAGAAAAGAATGTGTATTCACTGTGGCAAAAAAAAATGACCTAAGTGAAAGACCTCTGTGAGTGAGATCCCAGTGGAAAGAACAGGTCATTCAAGAAGGAGGTACCTTTCTCTGAAGGGAGGAGAGAACTTCCACTTTGACTATGACCTTGTCTAAAATATGATCAGAGTCGGTGAACTCAAAAGGCCTCCATATCCTTGGCAACTCATGACAAGAGCCTAGGGTGATTACTGACGCCATAAACAAGAGTGTCAATTTGTAAAGTCAACAACAGGAGTCACTGTGCACTTACTCCTCATGTAGGATCTCTGCCCTTAATGTGCTGTACATTGTGTTTTAATGTTGTAACTAGTACTCAAACAGTATTTTACACTTCGTGTTTTCTGTGTGGGTGCAAACTGTTGAAAGCTTTTCTTTTTTTTTTTTTTTTTTTGACAGGCAGAGTGGATAGTGAGAGAGAGAGACAGAGAGAAGGTCTTCCTTTTGCCGTTGGTTCACCCTCCAATGGCCGCCGTGGCCAGCGCGCTGCGGCCGGCGCACCACGCTGATCCGATGGCAGGAGCCAGGAGCCATGTGCTTTTCCTGGTCTCCCATGGGGTGCAGGGCCCAAGCACCTGGGCCATCCTCCACTGCACTCCCTGGCCACAGCAGAGAGCTGGCCTGGAAGAGGGGCAACCGGGACAGAATCCGGCGCCCCGACCGGGACTAGAACCCGGTGTGCCGGTGCCGCTAGGCAGAGGATTAGCCTAGTGAGCTGCGGCCCGGCCTTGAAAGCTTTTCTTAATATATGCTAAATTGATCTTCTGTATATAAAGATAATTGAAAATGAATCTTGATGTGAATGGAAGGCGAGAGGGAGCAGGAGAGGGAAGGGTTGCAGGTGGGAGGGAAGTTATGGGGGGAAAAGCCATTGTAGTTCCATAAACTATACTTTGGAAATTTATATTCATTAAATAAAAGTTTTAAAAAAAAAGTGTGTATTCTGCTACTGTGGGATGAAAGGTTCTATAGATATTAATTAGGTCCATTTGGCCCATCTATTGTTTCTTTGTTGAATTTCTGTCTAGTTGATCTGTCCATTGATAAAGGTGGGATGTTGAAGACCCCCATTACTAGTGTATTGGAGTCTCTGTCTCCCTTTAGATCTATTGATATTTATTTGAAGCAGCCTGGCACCCTGGAATTGGGTGCATGTACTTTTATGATAGTTGCATATTCCTGTTGAATTGATCTCTTATCATTACGTAGTGTCCTGCTTTGTCTCTTTTAACAGTTTTTATGTTAATGTCTATGTTGTCTGATATTAGGATGGCTGCACATGGTTGTTTCTGTCTTCTGTTACTGTGCAATATCTTTTTCATCCTTACTTCAGTCTGGGTCTATCTTTGTTGGTGAGGGATGTTTCTTGAAGGCATTAAATAAATGAGTCTTATCTTTAAATCCATTTAGCCAGCCTTTATCTTTTAATTGGAGAGTTTAGGCCATTTACATTCAAGGTTACTATCGATAAGTCACGACTTGGCCCTGCCGTTTTTCTGTAAAGATTCCTTCTGTTTGCTTTGGGTTTCCTTTGTACTTTTACCTGTGAGATTTTCTGCCTTCACCTTTTTCATAGTGATGACTATGTTTCTGTGTTTCTGTGTGTAGGACATCCTTAAACATCTTTAGTAAGGCTGGACAAGTGGTGACAAATTCTTTCTTTTATTATGGAAGGTGTTTGCTTAATTTCATTCATAAGTGAGTGCTTTGCAGGGTACAGTCTTCTGGGTTGAAAGCTTTTCTCTTATATTGGGCTGTGTCTCTCCATTCTCTCCTAGCCTGTTGAGTTTTGTTACGAGAAATCAGCAACGAGTCTAATTGATAAGCCTCTGAAAGTAATCTGGCTTTCTCTTGTGTACATTTTGGAACCTTTCTCTATGTTTTAGTGCTGAAGTTTGACTACAGTGTGTTGTGATGAAGAGCCTTTCTGGTCATGTCTATAAGGAGTTTTATGTGCCTCATGTACTTAGACAACCCTTTCTTTCTCCAAATTGAAGAAGTTTTCTGTAATTATTTCACGGAATAGGCCTTCTCATCGGCTCTATCTTTCCACACCTTCAGGAACTCTCAGACCCATTTGTTGGGTCATTTGATAGTATACATAAATTTCCAACATTTATAATTTTTATAATTTCCTCTCCTTTTTTTGTTCTGACAAAAAACTTTATAAAGATTTCTCTTCCAGCTTCGATGGTCTTTCTTTTGACTCACCAAATATGTTGTTAAGGCTTTCCAATATATTTCTGTTTGACAGGTTGAATTCTTCATTTCTAATATTTCATTTTGATTTCTCTTGAAAATTTCCATTTCAGGGGATAATTTCTCATTCACATCATGTAAGGATTTCTTTAATTTGTGGATTTCCTTCTGAGTAATCCTACAATTAATCTTTTGAATTACACTTCAGGTACTTCCTCAGTCTCTTAATCTTCACATTCTGATTTTGATGTGTTGTTGCATTCCTTGGGGAGGGCAAGTGAAGTTGTCTTTTTTCTTGATTCTTGAATTTCTGTGTTTAGTTTTAGGCATTTGTGAAAATATTGAATTCACAGGGCAAGATGGCGGTATAGCAGCAGGAGGTACCGAGTTGTGCAGCGAAAATGGATGATTAATGAGTAGAAGGGATACAAACAGCTGGCAGAATCCTGAAAAATTTATGTCCCGAAGTCCTCCAGAGGCTGCTCAGGTCCACTCCAGCAGAAGCAGAGAGAGGACTGAAGGATAGAGAATGAGCAGCACAGGAATGCAGTGAGGAGACAGGTGCCTCTTCCTCAGCAAACCAGGTGAGAGGTTGCAATCCCACAAAGATGCAGTGAGTGGGGACATTTGGTGAACAGTGCTTGGGGCTCTAAGCAGGAAGAAGGAGAAATTCTGAGGAATGGGTGGAGAGATAGAATATACCACAATCCATTGGTGTCTATCCCCCCAACCAGAGATACAGTTAGCGGGATGAAACCATATTGGTTGTTTACATTTTTGTGTGTAGGCAGCATGCTGCCGTGTTCGCCCAGGTACGCATACTCATCGATTGCAGAGGCCACCTCACAACATGCACCACACGGGGACAAGGATCACAACAATTCAGAGTGATTTCCCACCCACCATGCAAGTTGTACAACAGCAAATAATGCTAAATGATAACCCTAGCTCGTTTTACAAACAAGTGAGCAGGGAGCCCAGCACCAGCAGGTGGGGCTTAGTGCACCAAAGCACTGGTACCCAGCTCCATCAGGAATCAGAAATAAACAAAGCTCAGGGAGGTGGTACTGCATGCACATAGCAGCTCATAGCAGAGGGAGATCAATTTAAAAATAAAACCAATCTGAAACCAAACAGAAATGCCAAAGAACAAAGAAACAATTCTGAATAAGAATAACGAAGAATTGACCAGATAAAAAATGCAGTGGAATCTCTTAGTAATAGAACAGACGAAATAGAAGAGTGAATATCAGAACTTGAAGACAAACTTCCAAAAATAACAGTCAGAACAAACATAAGAAGAAAAATTTAGAAAATGAAGAGTTGGTTGGAGATTTACAAGATTCCATCAGGTGATCCAACGTACAGATCACATAGAAGTTCCAGAAAGTGTGGAAAGAGAGAAATAATTAGAAGGCCTACTTAATGAAATTTTATCAGAAAACTTCCACAATAGGCAGATTGAAAGAGACATCCAAACACAAGAGATACACAGAACTGCCAATAGACAGGACCAGAAAAGGAGTTCACCACGACACATTGTGGCAATACTCAGCTCAGTGAAACACAAAGAACAGATCTTAAAATGTGCCTGAAAGATATGACAAATTACATTCAGAGGTAATCCAATTAGACTCACCCCAGACTTCTCATCTCAAACCTTACAGGCAAGGAGACAATCACAAGATAAATTCCTAGTCCTAGAGAAAAAAAAAAAAACTGTCAACCCAGAATACTGTACCCTACAAAGCTTTCATTTATGAATGAAGGAGAAATAAGGATTTTCCACAACAAACAGAAATTGAAAGAATTGTGTCTTCATGTCCCATCCCTATAACACTGGCTCAAGGATGTGCTATACACAGAAACACAGAAACAGGAACTTCGCTACAAAAGAAGATGAATGTAGAAAATGACCCAGCAACAGTACAAACAAAATCCAAAACACATAAACAGGTCTATTTAAGGAAACTAGGCAGAGAATATATAATATTTAACAATAATCACACTGAATGTAAATGGTCTCAACTCGCCAGTTAAGAGACACAGACTGGATGAATGGATTAAAAAAAAGAAAACCTATTTATCTGCTGCCTAAAAGAAACACACATTACTAATAAAGACATATACAGACTGAAAGTGAAAGGAGGGAAAAAGATACTGCAAGCTAACAGAAACCAAAAAAGAGCTGGTGTGGCCATCCTAATATCAGACACAGTAGACTTTAACACAAAAACTATTAAAAGAGACAAAGAAGGATCAATTCAACAGGAAGATGTGACTATTCTAAATGTATATTCACCTAATTACAGGGTGCCTGGCTATTTGAAAGGATTATTAAGAGATTTAAAGGGAGATATAGACTTAAATACAATAGTAACAGGGGAACTGAATACCCGTCTTTCAGCAATGCACAGATCAGACAGAAAATCACCAAGGAAACAACAGAGTTAATTGACACTACAGACCAAATAGACCTAGCAGATATCCATGGAGCCTTCTACCGTACAGCAAAAGAGTACACATTCTTCTTCCCAGTGCATGGAACTTTCTCTAGGATTGACCATATATGCTAGGCCATAAAAGGAGTCTCAGCAATTTCAAAAAATTGAAATCATACCATGCATCTATCCAGACCACGATGTAATGCAGCATGGAATTCAGCAACTCAAGAATCTCTGCATCATATGCAAACACATGGAGAATGAACAGTGTGTTCCTGAATGAACAGTAGGTCACAGAAGAAATCAAAAGAGATATCATAAAATTTCTGGAAACAAATGAAAATGACAATACAACTTACCACAGTGTGTGGGATACAGCAAAAGCAGTGTTAAGGGTGAAACTTTAAGGCAATTGGTGCTTATATCAAGAAACTGGAAAGGCACTAAATAAATGAACCATCTGTGCACCTCAAGGATCTAGAAAAGCAGCAGCAAACCAAACCCAAAACCAGGGAAAGAAAAGAAATAATTAAAATTGGAGAAGAAATCAACAAAATTGAAACAAAAAATACAAATGATCAGCAAAATGAAGACCTTGTTTAAAATTGACACACTGTTGGTTCAACTAACCAAAAAAGAGGGAGGGAGGGAGGGAGGGAGGGAGAGAGAGATAAGATTCAGATCAATAAAATTAGAGATGAAAAAGTAAATGTAACAGCAGACACTACAGAAATAAAAAGAATCATTGGAAACCATTACAAGGAGCTGTATGCCAACAAAACAAACTGGGAAACCTAGAAAATGAATAGGTTCCTGAACACATACAGCTTACCTAAATTGAGCCATGAAGACAAAGAAAACCTAACAGACACAGAACCAAGGTATAAATTGAATCAGTAATAAAGGCCCTCCCAACAAAGAGGGTCTGGTACCACACAGCTTCACTGCTGAATTCTACCAGACATTTGAAGAAATAACCCCAGTTCTTCCCAAATGACTCAAAACAATTGAAAGGGAGGGAATCCTCCAAAATTCTTTGTATAAAATCCTCAGTATAAGCATGGACCCCATTGCATTTACCCACCCTAGATGATCATGGAGCTCTGAGCAGCATGTGGAGCAGCTCACATTGATTGCCCAGAGACCCAGGTACACTTTGTGCAGTCACAAGTTCCCACAGTCTCAGCTCACTAGGCTCCCACAGTCAACAGGGTATAGAGGATCCACTCTGCTCTGCTAGCCTGTCCTGTCCACAGAGAGGCAGAGATGTTCCCAGAGCCAGCTGTCTGTGTTCTGCCTTGGCAGTTGGAGCCACAGTGCGTATGGTATGTTGAGAGGCTAGGGGTGCTCACATTCCTACATGGGTGTCCAATCCTCCAAGCTGACTCAAAGTCAGTGGGGAACATGGATTTTCCCTCTGCTGGTATCTCTGGATCACAGGCATGCACAACAGCCACCTGCTGAATAGTGTCTCCTCCCCGACTGGTTTCCAGGTGTGTGCCCCCAAGCTGCTGCCCCTGGTACTGCCCCTGGTACTGCTGAGGAGATGGCATCTCTGATGGCATCTCCTCTCAGCCCGATGCTGGGTGCCTGCCCAAGAGCTTCCAGAGCTGCCACCTTTGGTGCCTGCCCTCTCTCAGCCAGTTGCTGGGTGCTGTTGTGTTCAGATGAGGTGAGAGAAATGTGCTGCCATTTTTTTTACTGTGTCAGCAGTCACACTCTCCCTCTTAGGCTCCAGGCCAGACTCATGCCATGCTCTCCCTCTGTCTGTATCACTGTTGGCTTGGGTTGCTACAATCTGATCTCACCTCAGTCTCCAAAGTTGGAGCCTTCTCCAGCTATCAGCTCCTGGGGTCATGAGTTGGGTCTGTGTTCATGCTACACAACCAAATCTTCCACACAGATCCATGCCATTCCTCTTCCTTCCATAGTTTTCCACTGCAGTTTTCTCTAATTCTCCCATGACAATGTATATCCTGCTTTTTTATTATTTACTCTTAGCCTAGAGAAGTATGCCTTTCCCTATTTCAGCAACTTGGCACCTCCCCAGATGAAGTTTTAAGTTAGATCATGTTATTCTTCTACAGACTTCCCTTCGCTTCCTATCTCCTTCAGAGTAAGAGCAACCACACTCTCAGTGGCATCAGGGTCTGCATTATATGGCCTCCTTCGATCTACTTTCCTACCATTTTTTCTTTTCATTTCTCAACTCCAGCCACCCTGGGCCTCTGTCACTTCCTCAGTCTTTTCAGGCACTCTCATACTTCTAGATATTCGCACTGCTTTTTCCAGAATCCTAAAGCCCACCTTTTCACTTCTGTCAGAGCTCTGTTCACCTTCCAGGGAGTCCTTCCTCAGCCTACTTGTATGACACAGCAGTCTTTAACCTCTGCACCCCTTTCCTGTTCCTGTTTGATTCTCTCTCCTCAGCAGCTATCACCAACCTCTGGGCTATGTATTCTTTCTTTCTTTGCTCTTTTCTCCCATTCCTCCCACTCCTACAATATGGGCCTCATGAGAGTGGAGCTGTGTTTTAACCACGGCTGTGTATCCCAAGTGCCTGGAACCATGCTTCACTCATCTCAGCATTCAATAACTAGTTGGTTGAATGAATGAGTTTTACACACATGACCTCTGTGACAGTACTAGAAGATAAAGATGCATTTATTCCATTCCACAAAGAAGGAAATGGAAGCTCAGAGGTTAGGTTGTATGCATTTTGTGATGGAACCTTTACTTGACTGCCCAGATTTGAATGTTGCTAGAGTCATTTCTATCAGAGAGACATAAATGTCAGGTTCTCCAAAGACGTGCCACGTGATCACCTACCAGCTGTCACACATGCTGAATAAGCAGGAATCTGTGGTGGTTATATGAGTCATCAGCTCTGAGAGCAGAGCAGGGGTCCTGAGTGGTTGCGTTGGATGCTCTGGGAAAGGCTGCCATAATGAAGGTCCAGCTGCTGCTCAGTTCTCCCCTCAGTACCTCTGAGGCAACACCTGTGGTCACACAGACCCTCCCAGGTGAGGGGACTGGGATGTTTTTCTAGAGCTGGATGCCATAAAAGGATCATTGTGTGTAACTCCCAGCAGTGAAGGGCTGAGACTGAACCAGTGTCATCTCAGTGGCATTTAGAAAAGTAGCTTGGGGGGGAAGAAAGCTAAAAATCAGCCATAGGCACCCTTTGCAGATTCCTGGGTACCCTGAGACCCAGAGGGGTCCTGAAGGTAGTGAGTGCTGCTTCTCCATGAGGTTGTGGTTCTTGAGGAAGGTTTCAGTGAATCTGCTGACAATTCATTTGTAAGTGCACATTACTCAAATTCCTTTTGGAATTAAGGGCATGGAGTAGATTCTCCTGCTCTGATCCAGGCATTGAGCTGTCACGTCATAAGATCTGCATTTTGGGGTTGTCATTTTCCTGTCTTGTCCTGCAAACAGGTGTGATCATCCAGGAGGAAAATAGATGAACTCAGAGATTAAATAGAGATCAAGAATTGAATTCAGTTGATAGTTGATTGAGTGGGGGTTCACTCCGAAATCCTTTTAATTCATGAACTTTATGCAAAATCTCTGTGCTCAGAAATGGAAGAACAACTTGTGGCAGCCTCAGCACTGAGATGTTGTGGTCAGCTCTGGCTACTGTAATAAAACATCATAGACTGGATGGCAGAAAGAATAGAGATTATTTCTGTCACAGTTCTGGAGGCCAGGAGTCTGAGGTCAGGGCACCAATATAGGTGGATAGTATAGTGAGGGCTCATTTCAGGGTCACAGAAGACTACCATCTTTCTGCGTCTTCACCTGGGGTGGGGGGAGAGTGAGAAACAAGAGCAAACTTTCAGGTGTACTAATCCCATTATGAAGAACCTACCTTCATAAATTCATCGAAATCATATCTCTTTCCAAAATTACCATCTCCAAATGCTAAGATAATGGGATTAAAGCTTCAGTGTGAATGCTGAGAGACACAATACCTTCCACAGAAGGACTGAGGTTAATTCAGATGGGCTCTGTGGGAGCAGACTTAGCCTATGGGGGTGTCCCATAAGGTGATCAGAGGGCAAGAGGAAGTTCCTGTGAGCTTAGAGCATAGTGTGCGGATTACTAGCAATGGTTTATGCTCACGTAGACAGAACAGTTATGAGTTAGGCAGTGTTCAGAGTACTTTACTTTATCATAGATATATTTTTAAAGATTTATTTATTTATTCTAAAGGCAGAGTTACAGAGAGGCAGAGGCAGACAGAGAGAGAAGTCTTCCATCTGCTAGTTCACTCCCCAGATGGCCACAATGGCTGGAGCTGCACTGATCCAGAGCCGGGAGCTTCCTACGGGTTTTCCACGGAGGTGCAAGGGCCCAAGGACCTGGGCCATCTTGCACTGCTTTTCCAGCCACAGCAGAGAGCCGGATCAGAAATGGAACAGACAGGACTCGAACTGGTGCCCATGTGGGATGCTGGAGGTTCAGGTGGTGGCCTTATTTGCTGTTGCACAGTGCCAGCCCTATAGTAGGTGTCCTTCAGTTTGTTCTATTCTTCCCTTCAGAGCCCATTAAGAGACAGGCTTCTGTGAGGATACTGGTGCCGTTTCATTGAGGTGTCCCAATGTGTTGTTTTAGTAAAGAGCAATCTCAGAGTTGCAGGTAATTCAGTTGTTGCCCTGATCATATAACATCTTTGCATGTATTTGGGGACAGTTCAAAGAAAGACACATTATAAGAATATGGGGAAAGCCACTATAATCCAAAAGTTGTACTTTGGAAAGTTATATTCATTAAATAAAAGTTAAAAAAAAGAATATGGGATAAACATGGGTATTTCAACAAAGTTAATGGAAAATAGAATTCAGATATAAGCAGTATACAGGAGGGCATTTGGCCTATATGTTAGGAGGCCAGTAGAGAAGCCTGCACCCCATATTGGAGTACTTGTTTTTTATACGCATCTCTAACTCCTGACTCCTGACTCCTCTGTTAATACAGAGGGAAAACATTGGTGATGGTTCAAGTAATTGGGTTCCTACCATTCAAGGGGTGAGGCCTGGACTGAATTCCCAGCTCAATGCTGTGGAAATGTTGTGAGCATTTGAGCTGTAAAACAGTGGACAGGAGCTATCTGTCTCTCAACTTCTCAAATAAATTAAGAGTTTATTTTGGAACAAAAATTTTTATGCACCTAAATAGGAGTCATTAATAGGAAAATGTATGTTATGAAAAAATCTCTTCATAGATTTGAATTTTCCCTCCAAACAATCTTTATTTTCATTTTGTTTTTGACAGGCAGAGTGGACAGTGAGAAAGACAGACAGAGAAAGGTCTTCCTTCGCCGTTGGTTCACCATCCAATGGTCGCTGCGGCCGGCGCATTGTGGCCGGCGCACCGCGCTGATCCGATGGCAGGAGCCAGGTACTCATCCTGGTCTCCCGTGGGGTGCAGGGCCCAAGCACTTGGGCCATCCTCCACTGCACTCCCTGGCCACAGCAGAGAGCTGGCCTGGAAGAGGGACAGCCAGGACAGAATCCAGCGCCCCGACTGGGACTAGAACCCGGTGTGCCGGCGCCGCAAGGTGGAGGATTAGCCTAGTGAGCTGCGGTACCAGCCTCATTTTCACATTTTAAAGCACGCTCTCATATGCATATACACAGTTAGGCTTTCCTCCAAAGTGCCGGTTTCTAAAATAATTCTCTGAAGTTGGTGGGTTGGGTTATTTTCTCTGTCACCCCCACTTCTCACACAGGGTGAGGATTTTTTTAAGGTTTATTTATTGATTTGAAAGTCAGGGTTACAGAGCAAGAGATGGAGATACAGATCTTCCATCTGCTGGCCTACTCCCCAGATGACCATAAAGGCCAGGACTGGGCCAAGCTGAAGTCAAGAGCCAGCAGTTTCATCCAGGACTGCCCCATGAGTATCAGGGGCCCAAGTGCTTGGATCATCCTCTGTTGGTTTTCCCAGGTCACTAACAGGGAACTGGATCAGAAGTTGTGCAAAGCCAGCATTGAGGCATAGAGAGTAAAGCAGCCAGCCACCTGTGATGCTGATATCCCATATGGGTGCTGGTTCAAGTCCAAGCTGTTCCACTTCCAATCCAGCTCCCCGCTAATGTACCCAGGAAAGCAGTGGAACATGGCCCAAGTGCTTGGGTCCTTTCACCCATGTGAGAATTGTAGATGAAGCTCCGGTTCCTGGTTATGGGCCTGGCCAAGAAGTGGCCATTGTGCCAGTTGGGGAGTAAACCAGAGGATGGAAGATTTTCTCTCTGCCTCTCTCCCTCTCTGCCTCTCTCCCTCTCTCCCTCTTTCTGTCTGTTCTCCTTTCTCTGTGACGCTTTCAAACAAATAAATATTACAAAAAATAAGAGTTAGAGGAACCAGGACAGGAACTGGCAGTGGCACCCATATGGCAGCTTTACATGATACAACACAACACAGACTCCCAGGGTGAGTTTTAACACAAGTTGTTGGAACAGCATGCTGACTTCCTCTTAGTTCTTGATGGGATCAGCCAGGGTCATTGAAAATACTCGTGTAAACCTGCAGGTACCAAAACCTGGAGTGGAGACATGAACTGCTCCAGGTCACCTCATGTGCCAAGGGTGGCTGTACATTGTCATGAGAGCCCTTCAATTCACAGATGTCTGCTCAAGGGCAGGTGCCTTGGCCTTAGAAGAAGCAAAGGTAAAGATTGCATCTGTCACCAGAAGAAACAGCCACATCTGTCATAGAGCCCAGAGACTTGACTTCTTGGCATCACCCTTGTCAGGGATTCCTGGGTCACCTTGAACAAGTCACCTAATCTCTTTGAGACCTACTTATGCAGTGCTAAGGAGAGGAGTTTAATGAGGTAGCTGTTGAGGCCAGGATCACAATCAGATCTGGAGATTCTGTAAGTTGCACAGATTCTGGAAGACACAGAGGCAGTCATAAGATATTTTCTTTGGTGTCTCATGAATTAACATAATTAATACCTCTGCTTTCAGAATGAATCAGTAATGTGAACAACAGTTCTTTATTTTTGACAGAGTTAGACAGAGAGAGAGAGTAAGAGAGGTCTTCCTTCCATTGGTTCACCCTCCAAATGGCTGCTGCAGCCGGCACACTGCGCCAAAGTGAAGCCAGGATTCAGGTGCTTCCTCCTGGTCTCCCATGCGGGTGCAGGGGCCCAAGGACTTGGGCCATCCTCCACTGCCTTCCCGGGCCACAGCAGAGAGCTGTACTGGAGGAGGAGCAACCAGGACAGAATCCAGCGTCCCAACTGGGACTAGAACCTAGTGTGCTGGCACCGCAGGCGGAGAATTAGCTAAGTGAGCCATGGCACCGGCCTGAACAACAGTTCTTGATCTCAAATTGGACAAATTTTAACTGATGTAAAAAGGAAGAAAGAGCGCAGATTTGTGCTGTCCAATATGGTAGCCACCAGCCACATGTGAGTATTTAAATATGAAATAACTTCAATAAAATAAAACAAGAAATGCAGATTCTCAGTCACATGGCCACATTTCAGGTGTTCAGGAGCCACCGATGCCTGGTATCTGTTTTACAAGCTTCCTTCTGCCACTCAGCACTGCCCTGGAGCTTTGCCAGGACCAAAGGCTCCCTATCCTTGGAAAAGACTACAGGTGTTTTGGGCCTAGGGGGACTGGGCCCATCTTTGGGGAATGAAAGAATGGATGAAAAATCCCTTGAGGACAAAGCAGTGCAAGAAACCTCTAAGGCAAAGGATGGTTATATTGGTCAAGGGTTTGAGAAATATGGGAAGGCGGGGATGTTGGGAAAAGGATAAAGAAACGTGTGAACCATTCTGTTCCTTTGCTCTTGACTGTTCCTGGAGCTCTGGATCACACAGGACTACAAGAGGGAAGTTCCTTATACAGATTGTTACCCTATGCACAACTGATTCCTACAGTGGGAAAGTACGAGAGGAACAGGGATCTCCTAAGCCCCAAGAAAGGAAGGGCCTTCTCATAACTCAGTGCTGGGGAAAATGGTAGTCCCTTTCACATGTTAAAGAAGGGAAGGTTGTTGCCTAACAGGACAGTGGCAGGAATGGGAAGAAGTCAGGCTGACTTGAAATGAGGAAGAAGGTAGCCACTTTATCTGGAGGCTGGCAACTTAATTACAGATGTGTGCAGTCAAAGCCATCTTATATTTTGAAGCGTAGGCTTCTGTGTACACAGAATCCATGCCAAAGGAGAAGGTTGAGTTCTGCCTTCTTTGCCAGCCTGGCTCGCGGGGGCCAAGCCTGTGAGGAGGCAGATGGGAGTGTAATTTGCCCTTCTGTCTGGAAGCCATCTGTGAAGGGAATCCCCTTTGTCTTCTGAACTGCCTTCCAGGCGCAGCCACGGGGATGACACTGAAGATGAGAGCAGCAAGTTCACTGACAATGTTGAGGAAGAGGCCGCACGTGGAAGAGCCAGCAGCAGTGACATTGGTGCCAGGTTCTGCCATTCCCTTCTGAGATCTGGTGCGTCTGGCAGCTGATGGGGACCTGGAATGACAAAGTAAGTTTTTAAATAAGCCACTTCTCAGTCAGATCTCTGCCCTCCCTGAGCTTCTCAGCCGCCTCTCTAGCCCATATCCTTATTCCACTTTCCCTCGGATCTGCACATAGTTTTACTGCTTCTATTTCTTCCTTCTGCTTCCTGCCCCCTCTCCCCACTTTTGCCCATTTACTCTCTGGAGTTGTGAGTTCCGAGTGAGTTGTCAGTTCAGAAAATTGTTTTAGTCCATCTTATTTCAACACCTGTGAATGTTTCTATGCAGGCACCTGTGAAGTCACTGGGCATACTCTGTGACCCCGACAGACAACAGTTCTTGCTCTCATGAAGGCTGCCTCCTATTACATGAGCGAAACCTGAACAAATAATAAGTTAAGTGCATTATGCTTACAATTTAAAATTCTGATGAGTGTGATTGTTTTGTCCTGTGTTCCCAGGTCCCAGTTTATCATCTACTGACTTAAAACTGGCTGGTGGTAATTCACATAGCTGTAGAACCCACAATAACACGTTTCCTATTGTCATGGTCCTCATTTCTTTTCCATATGGTGTAAGGAAATTTTGCTTTTCTTTCAAAGGCCACCTTGAACACAAGAGGTTCTGAGACTCAGGATGTTTTGAGACCAAGGTTTTTAATTGTGGTGCTGTATCCAAGTAGCTGTGGAGATATAGGCAAGTCTAATCCTTCCTGAGCCTTGATTGTCTTCCTGAAAAATAAGGAAGCTGTTGTAGGTCTGTGAGGTCACTTCATGCTCTGGGGTGTGTCTGAGTCAATTATGGAATAAGATGTCTGTAATAGAGATCAGTAACAACTGTGGTCAAGAGCATACCCAACCCTGATTATGTTTCCTTCAGGAGCATCTCGCTGAACCTTTGGCCTGAGAATGCAGAACAAAAAGAGCATAATAGGAGATGCAGTGCCTGGTGGGTGGGAGATCCAAGAAGACAAAGAGAAGAATGAGGTGACAGTAGATCCTGGGGTCACAAAAGTGGGTCTGAATGAGTGTACCTTCAGGCTGAGTTCGGGAAGGTCCAGAGAAAAGCAAAGAATGTGCACAGCATCATCACCCTCCCTAAATAGCAACTGGTACTGAGCAGCAAGGAATGAGATAGTGCCCTTATCCAGAACTCCTTGAGTATCTGAACAAGGAGATCGACAGAAGGAATGCAGCCCTGCTTTGTTCTCCCAAGGAAGACCTATGCCAAGAAGAGGGGATGTGCACAGGAGGCCTTACTCCAGACCCCAGAGCCTTGACCCTGGAACTGCCCTTCCAGCGATGCCCATCAGGTAAATGTGGGCATGGATGGATGGAAACACTTGGAGGTGGGCTGGGGATGCCAGTCATTACCTACACAGTTCTTCCTTTTAGGTCAGCAGATACAAAAGAAAGGTTCCCTTGCACCAAAGCAGTGGTGATACTAATCTTCAGCACATCTTCAGCCTTTAGAAAGGTTTTCACAACATTTTCTCCTGAGTTTTGCAAGTAATGCCCTAGGCATTGGCAACAGGCAATAAAGCCTGATCTATGCCCTGGAAGTGTCCAAGGGAGTGAGGAAAGATGGCCCCAAACCAGACAGTTCCAGTGGGGTGTGACAACTGCTGAGTGTTGGGATGCACTGGTTTTGGATGCAGCCCAGATGAGCAGTGTGTGGTGACATTGCTTCCTTATCCCTGCCACATTTATCACTGCTCAACACATGGATTTTCTCCTCAGACACTCTGAAGGAGTTGTCAGGATTCCCCTACAGAAATGAACTTTGCTGAGGATTTTTCAAAATGGAGAAGGCAGAGGATTTGAGAGGCCACTGGGACAGAATGCCCATGAGATGATGTCTTCTCTTTTCAGCCTCTGAGCACATGGTTACTGAGTGCTCCTACCTAGCTGTTACTGGTGCTGTTATGTGCTGTTGATGCAGAGTTGAATGAAATGTTACCCCAGCTCTCCAGGAGCTCCACCTGGAAAACAAGAAACTGCCAAAAGGCACGGGAAGTGCTGTGACAGACATATGACTTGAGTCCACGGTGGAGGGGGAGTGTTCACCTTGGTGTATGGACACTGATGCAGTTCTTTGAAGTCCTGTTCGACTATTTCTGCTTTTCCAAATATGTAGATTCAACACTATTTAAAGATTTATGTTTTTATTTGACAGAGTATTGGAGATGTAGCGATGGAGGGGAAGAGAGAGAGAGAGATGGAGTTCTTGGTTCCTGGCTTTGGTCTGGTCCAGATGTGGGTGGAAGGGGCCCAAGTACTTGAAGTATCATCCACTGCTCCCCAAGATATTTTGACAGGGATCTGGATCAAAAGCAGAGTGGCCATGACTGGAACAAGGACTCTGATATGGGATGTGGCCTTCCCAAGTTGTTGTTTAACCTGCTGGAAAATGGCATCTGCCCTCCCCCAAAACACTGTTAAATCATAGTAATATGTTAAGAGCATCATGCTTTCAGAATGAAAGAATTTCTTGTTCCACAGCTCCTGTGCCCATCCTTGGTATAGAAGGCCCATGTCACTGTCATACTTGAGATACATGGACCTGTGTGGAAAAGACACAGGACATTGTAGGATTTGAATTCTGGATCTGTCTTTGCTAGTCTGAGTGACCTAGAATAAGCCAGCCTTACCTCTCCCTGAGTGTAGGTCTCACCATCAGTAAAAGCAGGCAACTGCACCTAACTTGCAGGGCTGTTGAAAAGCTAAGAAGCACTGCATCTTAAGGCCTGATACAGTGCCAGGGCTGAAAACAGTACAGCTTCAACTTTGCCTCTAGTCATTATTGTCCTTGTGACAAACCTGCCTTCATCCCAAGTATAGAAGTCACTGCAGAATATTCAACATTTTCTTTTTTATAAGATTTAGATTTACTTGAAAGTCACAGTTATGCAGAGAGAGGAGAGGGAGAGAAAGAGATCTTCCATCTGCTGGTTCACTCCTCAGATGGCCACCACGGCCAGAGCTGTGCTGATGCAAATCTGGGCGTTGGGAGCTTCTTCTGGGTCTCCCACATGGGTGCAGGGACCTGAGCCCTTGGGTCATCTTCAACTGCTTTCCCAGGCCATAATAGAGAGCTGGAGAAGAAGTGGAGCAGACAGGACTCGAACTAGTGCCCATATGGGATGCCAGCACTGCATGCAGAGGCATTACCCACTATGTCACAGTGCTGGCACCATATTCAACTTTTTCTGAAGAAGGTATATTTGTTTTCAGAGGGTGAGGAGCATGATACCCTCAGGACATTGGTTCTCATGGAAAGGCCATGCTCTGTGCATCTGGGCTCAGCACAGGCCACTGCCCTGGGAAAAAGCCCTTGGAAAGCCAGCTAAGGGAGCAAGAAGAGCTCCAGTCAAGTAGAAAATCAGAAATCATCTCTGCTCTGCAAAGGGACATCTTAACATCAGATTTAGAGTGCCAGCGAGGTCATTAGAAACCTCAGGAACCAGGTGTGGTGCCTGTCAGTTACAAATGATTATTTGTTTAGTCTGGAAAGACCCCAGAAGTTGAGTTCTATTGCCTCCTTCATGAGATATTCTGTGATGAGAACAAGGGATGGCTGTGTGGTAGCCCCACACTTTTCTTTCTTTCTTTTTCTTTTTTTAGATTTATTCATTTGTTTGTTTGAAAGTCAGAACTTTAGAATTATTTTTCTAGTTCTGTGAGGAATGTCATTTACATCTTGATGGTATTCAATTGAGTCTGCAAATTGGTTTGAGTAGTATAAATAAGTTAAAAATACCAATTCTCCCAACTATGAACAGTAGTGGTTCTCCATTATTTGTTTCTTCTATAATTTCTTTGATTCAGATTTTCTAATTTTCCTTGTAGAGATCTTTTACATTCTTATTTCAATTTATCCCAAGGTAATTTGTTCTTTTTGAAGTCATTGCTCTTATTATTTTCATATCAAACTTCTACTTGTTGGTTGTTGCTTTCTTATCCTGCAGCTTCACTGAAGTAGTTTGCCTATTCTAACAGTCTTTGATGTAGATGTTAGGCTTTTCTACATAGAGACTCATGTCATCTACAAATGGAGATGTTTTAACTTCTCCTTTCCTATTTGTATGCCTTTTGTTTCTCTTGCACAATTGCTCTGACAGAAACTTCTTGTACTATGTTGGATAAGAGTGGTGACGGTAGACAACCTCATCTGGTTCCAAATCTTAGCTGAGATTTTTCCAACATTTCCATTCGCTATGACATTGACTGTGGGTTTGCCACTTACTACCTTTATTATGTTGAAGTATGTTCCTTCAAAATCAAATTAATTCAGGGCTTTTATTTTGAATGGATATTGAATGTGGCAAATGCTTTTTCATTATCTACTGAGATGATCATATAACTTTAATCTTTTGTTCCATTGAGGTAATATGTGATATGTATGATTTCTGTTTTGAACCATCCTCACATCCCTGGGATGAATCTCACTTGTTTGGCACAGTGATCTTTTTAAATACGGTGCTGTAGTCAGTTTTCTAGCAGTTTATTGAGAATTTTTGCATCTGTGTTCATGAGAGATGTTGGCCTATAGTTTTCATTTTTGTGGTGATGCTTTGTCATTGTCCAGTTTTGAAATAAAGGGAATTCTGACCTCATGGAGAACTTGTTAGGAAGGATTCCCTTGCTCTACATTGCTTTGAATCATTTCAGATAAATTGCTGTTAGTTCATCCTTAAAAGTTTGGTAGTACCTGTTAACCAGGTTAGTAACATCAGTTGTTACTAATACAGTTACAAACATCACAAAATGGATGGAAGAATCTACGTCATTGGAATTAGAAATCCAACACAGTTGTCATGGTACTGGAAACACCTCCACATTTATTTCAAACTTTTTTTTAGTTGTTTTGGAGATTAAATAAAAAGCACACATTTTGTTTTCATTATGTTATTGCTTTCTCTTGATTTTTCAAATTAAGTTTACAAAGGAATTTAAATAGATAGAAGGAAACTTTAAAGTAACCTCATTCATGTATAGAGGAAGAACATACAGATAATAAAAACTCAAAAGGCAGTTCCTCTAAGCCAAATATGCCCAAGGGAGAGAGAATGGGTTGTAGTGAAGCAGAAGGGGAACATAGTTAGGAGATGTATCACTAACCCAAATGAGCGCCTTGGAGTCATCAAAGATGGGATTCTGAGCAGCAGAGTTTTGTTCAGTCTTCGTACTTCCTTAGAAATGATTTACCATCTCTGGCAAGTTAACCTGAAACTTAGCTGATCCACGAGGTTGGAAGACATTAGAATCCAGAGCCTATTGAATGAGTCTAGTGTTATTCTGGACCTTAGGAGAGAAAAGTGGACGATAATATGCTATTGGTAGAATAAGGGGAACGAACAGAATCAACAATGTTTCTAAAAAGAATAAATGACAATGAGAATTGAGTTTTAGGAAAGAAAAAAGGGTATAGTATCTTGGTACACTGGGGTTGTTCTCTGAAACACCTTCATCCCAAACCATATTCCCTTCCATATCATCCTCCCTGTATTCATTTCAAACTATGACCCCTAAACCTCCATAATCTCATTTTTAGTTCTAAGCTCTAATAAGATGTATGAATTGAAAGATATTTCATATTCTCATTCAGTGACAAAACCTTATAGAAGAGGCGAGAGACTATGCATTGTCTTTATTTACCTGCATTATGAGAATGTTCACATATTTCCTTGCCGACATTATGTGTTTGGCTAAATGTTCTGGCTCTGATGCAGTGAAGTACAAGTACTGCATGGCTTATGTGGTATTTACATCCTATTGCCTTGCTAAAGACCAAGAAGATCTGTCTTTGAAAATACATTTGACTTTCATAATTTCAGATACAACATTGTGGCCGTGAAGCTTTACACGTACGTATATGGTAAGTAGAGAGGTGCATTGCATGTAGAAGGTGAACATTTCACTTAGGATCTGTGCTCTAAGGTGTCTGTTTCCAATTCTTACATGTGACCAGCAGACATAGTGTGGTGCTGTGTCTTATTCTATTTGATATTTGAGTGTGGAGGGCATGAAATCTTGCTCAGACGTTCCCTTCTGTAGTTCAATGCTGATCTCCTACCTTGAGAAAACCTGGTCTCTAGACTGCGGGACTTCAGTTAATACAAAGATGAAGCCATAGACTGTTTTCATCTGCCAATGTCATGCCCTGTGGATGAATGTGTGTCACTTGAACCTCAGGGAAATTCCAGACTGGATGTGTACAATTTTAGCATGCCCCAGACCCCACACAGAAGTGGTGACATGAGTGTCTCAGATATGTTGGCCTATATAGTAGCCAAGACCCCAAGATTACAGTGGTGTTCTTAGCAGAAAGGAATGTCACACACCAGGCAAGAGCCTTAGAGAGAATCACGGATATTAAATAGCAGATGAAATTACATCAGTCAAAGACCCTAATCTCATACTTCTCTTGGACATCTCAAAGAATCTGAAATCCTCGATGATAGGAGTTGTGTTGCATATAGGAAAGAAAGCTTGCAGATGCCTCCATATTTTGGTCCTAGTAGCCCATGAGGCACATATATGCCCTGGAAAATGATGCTGTAATAAGTGCTGCTCCCTTTATTCACTGGCCACTCTGCCAGAACCAGAGAACATGTTCCTTTAAATATGGCCAGAGGAGTCATTTCCTGTCCCTCTTCTTTGGGACATTGTACTTTCATGATCATCTCAAGGATTGTGATGAAAGTGAAATGTTGTCATTTGTACAGTGCTTTGCCAAATGCTGGGTATAAATTCACCAAGAAGTTGTCACTGTTACTTTGTTTTTATTAACACTACCCTAAATCCACCCCTGTACAATGTAAAGTAGGACATGTAATCTTGTGATGCTTTAGTTTATGATTTTTAAGATTAAGAATTTGATGAATAATTATTTCTGCCATAGAATATGAAGATCAGAGACAGCTGAAAATGAATTTCTTCATACCTTTGATTCATCTCAGAAACTGATATCTTACACATTAGAGTGGGAAGATGCTGAGGGGTTCAGGACCAGCCTCATTAGTGGAATTCAGCTACCATTCAATAGGACTTAGCCAATAAGAAAATTTATCAGGCAATGTTACATAAAAACTGCAGATGGATCCTGTTCAATATGTAGATAAACTGAATGCAAATATGAAAAGAATACCATCAGATTTGCAAGTTTTCCCACATGGATGTTCACTGTGTATTGGGGGGAGGTTCACATCAACTATTTGTGTCAGTTGATATCTTGAAAAGGCTCTTGTGGGGCTCGAATGAAACCCATAAGTGTCAAGTGTAAAGTGTCCGTCAAGTGATGGTGAAACAGGGCAGGCCCACTTAGAGGAAGACACTGAGGATGTAAGGGCATCTAACTGGCTTTCAGTTGAATGAAATGCCCATGTGCTGCCCCTGTCAGGGCAAAGCCAGCACAACCCTTGAGTGCAACAGAAAGTCTACTGAGATGGGATACAAAACATTTAAAAGTGAACCCTTGGCTTAGTGTTTTGCTGTGCTTTGTTCCTAACAGATTATGGGTCTAAGAAGCTGAAGAGTCTGAGAAGAACATCATGGCAGTTTATAATTCAGCATCTCTCAGTGGTGGAAAAGCCTTGTGGTCTCTTTTGACATAAAGAAAAGTTGGAGTGACTTTATGACAACCCTTAAAGTAAAAATTGTTAGGATATGAGTCCTGCCTTAATCTTTTAGAACAGAGGAATGAGAAATATGCTTAGACGCTTTTGGGAAAAGGTAGGACTATGGTTTCAGCCAGGGGTACACAACTGTGGAGGCTGTGTTGAGTGGGTGGTCCCTTAAGACGTTAAGAGGTGGTCCCCTTAAGACTTTCAGAGGTGGTCCCCTTAAGACTTTAAAAGGACCAATCAGGCTTGTGCATCAGCCAGGTGGCCTAGGCAACTGGAAGGCAGTGGCTCCCAAGATTCCATGATACCCCCCGTGTTTTGATTCTGTGACAGTAACTGCCAAGTTACCTGGAAGTGAAGCCCTACTTCTCTCACTCTGTCGGATGTTGAGCAATAAGCAGGAGCTTATGCTCTGAGCTCTGGCACCTGACTGAATCGAGAATAAAGGCGTTAAAGTGTTGTGGGGTGTTTCCTAACAGTAAGTTGGGAGGTACAGTTATCCTCATCTATCAGTCCTACTGAAAGAGGTTTCATTTTCTTTAACTCCTCTTTTTCTTGGGTGTCTTCTTCCTAGTCCCTGGATATACTCATTTTGCTACAAGCATCGATATGGCACTGACTCTCGGTCCCTCACTTGACGTGAGGGTAGAAACCAGTGAGCAATTAAGCTCTCAACTGGCAAAGAGCCAACGAGAATCAAAAGAACTGAAGGAGAAGCTTCTTAGAGCTGAGGCTAAGGCCTACCTCCTGGCAAAGCACCTGCGGGACCACAGTAAGTTCGTTCTTTTCCCTGTGTTTAATGTTTTATTTCTAAAAAAGAAATATAAATAAAATAGAGAAATTTGTTAATATAGATTGAATGGGAGACACAGCATTATTCATGTTCCCATTCCACAATAAGTTCTATAGGTTCAGTGTCACCGAAATGATGAGTATTTGATGTCACCTCTTGGAGAAATGACCTGTTTGCTAACCTTGATCCTTCTCTTCTCTCTACCAAATAAGTTACATAGCTACCATGCTCTGAGAAGGATTAGCGTTAGTAGTTACAGCATCAGTTGGTTGTGCAGGAATAACTGAGGCACAAGTTCAGCCAATTTTCCACATTTTCACTGAGCTGTAGGGTGGGAATTCTGACACTGTCCCGCTCCAGCTGAGTCACTTTGCCAAGTCCCTTCAGGTGCATTTGAACTCTTCTTCGCTCATTTGCTGCCAATGTAGTATTTTCTCAAATGTTATTTTAAATCTTTATCCAATAAATTGGTGGGAATTATATACTACTATAGCTTTGGTGTTTCTATGACTACTTTAGAGTTACTTAACATAAGTGAAGATGAGCATCTTTTGATTTGATTATTGTATATAACTCCTTGTCTATTCTCTGGCTGGATTATGGTCCACTTATACTTTATTTCTTGAACTGTTTATTAAGTAGAGCCATTAAGCCTTTGGCAGTAGTATAAATGAAAAATACATTATATGGGGCCAGCGCTGTGGCATAGCAGGTAAAGCCACCACCTGCAGGTGTTGGTTTGAATCTGGCTGCTCCACTTCTGATCCAGCTCTCTGCTATGGCCTGGGAAAGTAGTCTAAGATGGCCCAAGAGCTTGGACCCCTGCGCCTGTGTGGGAGACCTGGGGAAGAACCTAGCTCCTGGCCTCAGGTTGGCACAGCTCCAGCCATTGTGGCCATTTGTGGAGTGAGCCAGTAGATGGAAGACTTAGCTCTCTCTCCCTGACTCTGAATCTCTATAACTCTGCCTTTCAAATAAATGAGTAAATCTTTAAAAAAAAGTTAACTGAAAAAATAAGAAATAAAACATTAATATTTTAAAAAAAAGAAGGGATTAGAAAAAATTCCCTGAGGGGCCGGCACTGTAGTATAGTGGGTAAAGCCACCGCCTGCAGTGCCGGCATCCCCTATGGGTGCCGATTCAAGACCTGGCTGCTCCACTTCCAATCCAGCTCTCTGCTGTGGCCTGGGAAAGCAGTAGAAGACGGTCCAAGGCCTTGGGCCCCTGCACCCATGTGGGAGACCCGGAAGAGGCTCCTGGCTCCTGGCTTTGGATCGGCCAAAGATTGAAAGACCTCTCTCTCTGTCTATTTGCTTTTCCTTCTCTCTGTGTAACTCTGGCTTTCCAAAAAAATATATAAAGCTTTTTTTTTTAAATCCCTGAACAAATATAAATAAAATGGAGATTATAATTGTCCTGTCCATGGGAGCTAAAGAAACAAAGAGGAGGAAATTCACACCAAGAGCTTGATGGTGTAGCTCCACTTCCTGACAGACAGTGACCTTAGCAGCCCGCTCACCTTTCCACTGAGGCAGGTGTATGTGTGTGCGTGTCTTTCCTCAGATTGTGAAGAGTATGAAGATCTAATTGAATCAATGCTGAGGGAGAAGCCGCACTTCCTGGAGGGGCAGCTGGCAGAGGAGCTGCTACCTGCGGAGAATCTCAAGTAAGGGGGCTCTCTCGGGTGGGCAGGTGGAAAGGTGAATGCATCTCTCAAGTGGGGCAGCTCAGCTGGGGAACCAAGAACTGATGTGGCCAGGAGAAGGGCAGGGATTTACATGGTGGGCTGACCCCTCAGATTTATAAAAGCAGGCAGACAACAGAGAAATCACCAAATTGTAGGCTGCAGTGGATATTTAGAACCTCTTTTCGACTTGAAAAACGAGGCACTTATTGACTTGAAATTCACATACAAAATTGAAGAACGTGAACCACACAGAGACGTTTTGTATCCACACAGTGCTGTAGGATCCCCTCCTCATTAACTGTGTCTCCATCACCTCCTGACCGTGGATGCTGTCTTAGATTCTCCCTGTCAGTCGTTATTTCTGCTGAAAGCCATTGTGCCTGGCATGTTTCTGTGTCTACCTTTGTGACCACTCGCTGCACACTGCATTTTAATAAGGAAAGGTCTGTGGCTGGAGTGAGGAACTTAAGGAACATGTTGGTGAGGGAGCTGAGGAAGAACCTTGGTGTTGTTTAGAGAACCAAAAAATCAGCCCAGTGTCTAGTAATCTCGCAAGGTCTGTCTCTCTACTAAAGAGGAATCTCTTGCTCCATCTTTTCCTCTTCCCTACTGTGGGCATTTTCCCACACACAGGCAGTGATGCTGCTTAGAGGGCCCTGTGAGCACATTCTCACCAAATCTCTGCAGAGACACAGAACACACCATGGGGCCGTTCCCACCTTGACATCTTCTCTCCTGTCACACCTTAGGAAATGTGGTGTTCAAATTCAAGAGCAGGCCCAAGAGCTGACCCAATTACAGCAGAAGTTACAGGAAGGGAGAGCTCTTTCTCAGCTCATTCATCAAAATCTCCAGGCCCTCCTCACCCAGCAGGACCCTGACAGCTGCCAGAGCCGGCAACTACTCACTGAGCTGCTCAAGCTGACAGAGCACCTTGTTGCCAAACTCAGCACAGGTAAGGTGGCCAAGGCTCTGAGACTTAAGATGGTCTCAAGTTGGCATCCGACTCCACACTTCTTCAAAGAACATTTACCAACAGTCTGTAGGTTTGTGTAAACAATTCTGTAAATAGTTCTCTAAACATTTGCGGCCATTTTTGGTCAGGGTACTTGTGTAGGAACAAAGAGTGGGAAATGCAGAGCTTTGAAGGTCCCAGGGCTGCAGAGATCTCCTCCTCCCTGATGCAACTGGCCTTGGAGCAGGAGGCCGCATCCTCTAGCTTTCTTTTTTCATGCTTGGATTTCCATTTTATTTCCATTGAAATACACTTACCTTTTTATAAAGATTGATTTTTTATTTTATAGGCAGAGTTACGGGGATGGGCGGGGGAGAGAGAAATTTACTGTTGAATTGATAGTATAGACAGACTTTTCTAAACCCAGATCTGGGATTTTCTTTTTTTTTTTTTTTTCCCAGAGAAACCTTTTGGGGAACGGGAATAGGAGAGGGAGAAGGTGGGGTGGGAGCTTCAGTGAGTCTCCTGATGCTTCCTTCACTGGGGAGGCAGCCTTGCACGGTGTCAGAGGTCTTTGCTCCCTAGCAGGGCAGGCAACCGTTTGCCAGAGCACATGTCCTGCCCATGTGTCTCTATCCCTGTGACTCAATCTCAAGCTCTATCACCGCCAGAGAAGGTGGGGTGGGAGGGTGGGTATGGAGGAAAGAGTTACTGTATTCCCTCCAGTTTCAAAACACCGGAGAGAGGATGTGACTGGAGGCAGCTTGTTAGAGGGAACAAAAGCCACAGTGCAAGAGTGGAAAGTCTCGGCTGCTCCTCAGCGTGTTTTCACACACGTGTGACAGATCTTTTGTGGATTTCAATCTCCTTGTCTGTAGAGTGTCAAATAATCTGTTTCACAGTAGAAGTAACACTATGGCCATCTCCTGTGGGATATTCACACCCTGGTAACACTCCCTGACAGCCACAGCCCCCTGCGTTTTGCAGCTACCTCTGGATTTCAGCCTAGCAAACCATGTGGCCTTTCTCTTCCCTGATGAAGTTGACTGAGCTCCCGAGTTCTCTAGAACACTATGCCATGCCCTCAGTGTTCCATCTTGGGCATTAGGTCTGACTGGAGCCACTAATGCCCTACACTCTCTGGGTGGCCCCAGAGATCCTGGTGGACCAGAGGCTCTGTAGAACTCACACTTCCACCCAGTAGCAGTACACAGAGTTCACTGTCCATGCAGTCTCCAAGACAATGAAGAGCAAATTCGCATTTGGCTGTTCTCAACCCAACAGCCAGGTAGCCTATTGCTGGAGCTGATGTTGTTGGGGGCCAGATGATCTTAGGGTTTCCAGAAAATGAGGCCACGGGAGATGTGGGTAACATCCTGTTTCAATGGAGAGAATGGGATCACCTGGCTCCAAGGGCATATGATCAGCCGGGATGGTGGCCTGGAGACACACTGTAGCCTCTGAGGCTGTTGCCAAAGTCCCAGATGTCTCTCATGGAAAAGTAGAAGTCCTGGTGGCGGTAGCTGTGGCGTTGGACCATTTCCTGAAGGTGTCCTTCCTTATCTGACTTGATTTACAGTCAACCAGACATCTGGGAACCAGGAGGAGCCTTACGTGGACTCTCCCCATACCAGGTAGGTCTGCCAGCCCTGTGGACTTTGACTTTGCAGGGATCCCTGAAGTGTCACAGTAGATCCTGGGAGAGACAAAACAGGCTGAGGGAGCCATGGCACTCCCACAGGACCATGTCCTCCTGTCTCAGAAGACAATATTGCATCTTGTCATGGAGTTGCCCAAAGGGGTTCCCATGGCCTCTTCCACTCACTGCCCAAGAGATAGTCTTAGGGTTGACTCAGACCAAGTGGCCTTTATGTGGAATTCCGGAAGTCACCACAGCTTCCCTGGCTCACAAGAGGAGAGGGCCACTCTCTGGACTACATTCAATTTCTGTCCATGTAAGGGCATTCCATCTGTGGGTGGCACAAAAAGTGATCCATTGAGATCCCAGAGCCAGCCATCAGAAGGCAGAGGGAGCAGTCTGAGGAGTGGGGGTGAGAGAGCCAGAGTGCTGGGGTACAAGAACTCCTCAGCAGGTGTATCTGTCATCATCGAGATATCTGGGGAGTTGATGCCTGACTGGGTCTCAGGGGTGACCCACAGCTTCAGTGAGGCTCCTGGTGCTTCCTTCACTGGGGAGGCAGCCATGCAGGGTGTCAGAGGTCTTTGCTCCCTAGCAGGGCAGGCAACTGTTTGCCAGAGGACATGTCCTGCCCATGTGTCTCTATCCCTGTGACTCAGTCTTCAGCTTGTCACCGCCAGTCCTCTCAGAGTCACCTTGTGACCAGGGAGTGGGACACCTGCTGGGGCCCGTTTTACCTCTAGCCACAGATGCACTGTTACTGCTTTGGAGGGCGGGCATGAGTTGGTGCTACTCACATCCCATGTTTGTAAATGTGCCTTATCTCCACACTCCAGCAGGCCAAGTCTCAGGCTGGCCCAGCTGGAGCTTCTCAATGGCCTGCCTAAACCCAGAGTGGGACCCTGGTGGCCCTGTCCTATGGACAACATTGTGGAGATGGCTTACGATGAGATCTGTGCCAGTGTCTGGAACCTCCAACAAGAAGAATGCTTCTTCAGGGAAGCTGGCCTTGGCAGTGAGTACTTCTGGGGCAAGGTGATGCTTCGAGCCCCAGGGTTCTCCCCAGTACACAGCCACAGGTCTGCCTTGCAGCCACCAGCCCTAGCTGAGTAACAAGAGCACTGTGTGCTGGAGCAGGGCCCATGGCTTCATGGTAGGAAACACCAGATTACACAGCATGAACACATGAGGAATTTGGGGATCTAAGCATAGTATAGCAACTAGAGTTGGAGTCATGTGGTTCCCCAGAAACACCCCATGAGATAATACCGCCTCATGCCCACAGCAGTGTATCCGACCAGCCAGAGGCTTGTCAGCACAATGAGTCTGGCTAAAAATGATGGATGAGACTAAGAGCCTTCAGCAGCAATCTCTTCACAAACTGCTGAAACTTTGTAACCGCTACCAGTTCTGGAAGAATACAGGAGAGTAGGAAAAGATAAACAGGAGCACAGGGCCCAAATGAAATGAACCCAAAAAGCAGAGGGTATGAAAAACACCAATGGTCACTGAGGTCAAGACTGTGGTGAGGCAGTTAGAAATCGAGTTGAATTGATTGTCCATAACAAACCACGAGAAAAAGAAAACCCAAGACATCCCAGTGTGGAGCTGACACTTCCCAACAAAATAGCAGAGGTCAGATGAATTGACACCCAGTTAATAAAAAATATGCTGAAAAAAAAAAGCAACAGATATCACTACTCACAACTTTTAGTACCTTTGAGTGATACTGCAGAGATATCTCTATGCAGATATGAGGCCTTAACACTTCTCCCAATGACCACAGCATTCAGGGAAGCCCTGCCATTCGAAACACCTAGGGGTCCTGTGTGTTTCACCAACCCAGCGACTGACAGGGTAGGCAGGGAGAGTCAAGTATCCCACCTACCCTGACATTAGAATTGTGCTTGTCAGGGCTGAATGTTGCTTGTTGGCAGCACGGGGCAAAGATGGGCGCAAAAAAGACACTAAGCTGGGGTATACAGCACAATAGAGATCCTGAAATGTAGTGGGTGATGGGCGGTCCGAAGACTACCCTGGCAGGCAAGCAAAGCCACTATCTGGACTAGGCGCCAGTCTAAACGCCAGCTTCTGAGCCACCAAGACAACCACCCTGAGGTATGTACACATCTTGGCCTGTGCGTGGGTAAGCCTAGTCCTCAGTGGGGCCTTCCCTGTCTCATTCGATTTGCAGTCGGCCCGACGGCTCTGGATCGGGAGCGGCCTTCCCTAGGTCCTGCCCTGCCCAGGTAGGTCTCCCGACCCCGTGAAGGCCCCGCCCCGGGGCTGGAATCCCGGCAGACTTCCCCGCTATCCCGGGAGGCCCAGGGCTGGGCCGCGTGGTGCCCGCACACCCACTGCCCCCCTCGGCCCCGTGTGTCTATGGGCCCGGTGGCAGCACGGCCTCCAAGCGTGCGAGTGACACGGAGGGGGCTGTGGCCTGCCCCCACCCCTGGGGAGGCCGTCCCGGGATCCCTGCGCACCCAGTGGCCCCGTAGGACGTCCTGCGGTCCGGGTGGCTGTCCCGCTTTCCACGCGGAGGCTGACCGGAGTCTGGCCCGCAGCCACGACCCAACCACATCACTCAGCGTTCGGTGGGCGGCACGGGGATGATGGACGGGTCCTCGGGGAATCCTGGGCCACTCCACAGAGGCTGCGGAGGCAGACTGTGGTGGGGGAGGGGTTCTGACGGTGGCCAGAGGGCTGTGCCACCTCGACAAGCCAGGTGCATTGGTGGTGCCAGGTGCGGCCTGGGCAGTCGATGCGTGCCGCAGAGCTCCTGCGAGGGTCCTGGAGTGCTTTGGGCGGGGTCAGAGCTCTGGGGTCCGAGTCCATTGTCTGCCCGGCCCCGGCCCGGCCGTGCCTGCGGCTCAGTCCGCGGCTCTCTCCAGCAACCCCTGCAGAGCTGAGAGCTGGCCTGTGGCGGGGGACGAGGACCGCCTCTGGGGCCCACGTGCCCATAGCCACGCAGGCACTGGCTTCCCTGGGCCGGCAGGCAGGGCCCGGGGCTCGACCACCTGCCGCGTTGGTGACCCTGCTGTGGTTTTCCTTCCCACCCCAGCGGGCCCGAACTCGAGCTGCCCCGGCTGGGGCAGTTCCCTGTCCCATGTGCAGCCATCGCGGGACCCCGTTGGCCGTGTCCTGCGGCCGGGCATGTGGCCGTGGCTAACCTCCAGGTCTGTGACAGCGCCAGGGGCCTCCGGCGGGAGGAATGCCACATCTTCCAGACCATAGACATGTTCAGTGAGTCCTCCCGGGGCACGGTGTCCCCGCTGAGCCACTGGGGCTCGTCCCTGGACAGCGCCAGTCTTCCTTCGCGGAGCCAGCCGCGAGGCTGAGTCCCGGGGCACAGGGCCGCCTGAAGCGGGGGGGCGGGTGGAGGGGGAGGCCGGCACACAGGGCCCGGGTCTTGTGAGACCCCATGGGTGGTGGGTGTGAAGCATATCCACGTTCACTGCGGTGTCCGGGTCGGGCCTGCCTCTGGGGTGTGGGTCACACTGTTTGGCCCTGCCTGACACGCAGCCTGCCAGGTCCCGCGGGGCACGTGGTTGCGGCCCCAGAGGCTATTCCAGGGCAGGGCCAGCGCCAGCGCCCGCAAGCCTGCGCGCTTCAGGCTGGCTAGGAAGAGGGGGCCACGCCAGCAGCCTTCAGCCTGCTTCCTTCCCAACCCGCAGACAGCCCCTGAAAGCCGCAGCTCCCAGCTGTGGCAAGCAGACAAGTGGTCCCTGGCTTTCGCATCAGCTGGCGGAGCGCCGCGCGCCAGAGCGCTCTGGAACGCTCTGCGTGCCCTGGGTGTTCCGTGTGCCGGGGGGAGGCCTGAGTCGCCGGCCTCGACGCCTCTCCCAGCGACCACGGCATTCTGGGAAGCCCGGCAGTTGAGAGACCCAGGGGTCCTGTGGGTGTTGGGTGTCCCCCGCCCAGCGACTGGCAGAGCGGGCAGGGAGAGTCCGCTGTCCCGCCTACGCTGCCCTTGGAATTGTGTGGGTCGGGGTTAGATTTCTGCTGTCCGCAGCCCAGGGCGGAGATGGGTGCCCCAGGACACTGAGCTGGGGTCCGGTGCGTGTGAAGGCTTCCTTAGGGCCCTGCCACGTGAGGTGGGGCGGTTGAAGGGCGGTCCAGAGCCCCCATGGCAGGCGGGCGCCAGTCCAGGCCAGTGCCTGGAGACTCAGCGCCCTGCCTCCCGGCAAGCCTCGAGCCACCCAGACGACGGACCGTCCTTTAGGGGGTGTGGACGTCCTGGCCTGTGCGTGGGTAAGCCTAGTCCTCAGTGGGGCCTTCCCTGTCTCATTCGATTCGCAGTCGGCCCGACGGCTCTGGATCGGGAGCGGCCTTCCCTAGGTCCTGCCCTGCCCAGGTAGGTCTCCCGACCCCGTGAAGGCCCCGCCCCGGGGCTGGGATCCCGGGCAGACTTCCCCGCTATCCCGGGAGGCCCAGGGCTGGGCCGTGTGGTGCCCACACACCCACTGCCCCCCTCGGCCCCGTGTGTCTATGGGCCCGGTGGCAGCACGGCCTCCAAGCATGCGAGTGACACGGAGGGGGCTGTGGCCTGCCCCCACCCCTGGGGAGGCCGTCCCGGGATCCCTGCGTACCCAGTGGCCCCGTAGGACGTCCTGCGGTCCGGGTGGCTGTCCCGCTTTCCACGCGGAGGCTTACCGGAGTCTGGCCCGCAGCCACGACCCAACCACATCACTCAGCCTTCGCTGGGCGGCACGGGGACGGACGGGTCCTCGGGGAATCCTGGGCCACTCCACAGAGGCTGCGGAGGCAGACTGTGGTGGGGGAGGGGTTCTGACGGTGGCCAGAGGGCTGTGCCACCTCGACAAGCCAGGTGCATTGGTGGTGCCAGGTGCGGCCTGGGCAGTCGATGCGTGCCGCAGAGCTCCTGCGAGGGTCCTGGAGTGCTTTGGGCGGGGTCAGAGCTCTGGGGTCCGAGTCCATTGTCTGCCCGGCCCCGGCCCGGCCCGGCCGCCTGCTGCGGCTCAGTCCGCGGCTCTCTCTAGCAACCCCTGCAGAGCTGAGAGCTGGCCTCTGGCGGGTGACGAGGACCGCCTCTGGGGCCCACGTGCCCATAGCCACGCAGGCACTGGCTTCCCTGGGCCGGCAGGCAGGGCCCGGGGCTCGACCACCTGCCGCATTGGTGACCCTGCTGTGGTTTTCCTTCCCACCCCAGCGGGCCCGAACTCGAGCTGCCCCGGCTGGGGCAGTTCCCTGTCCCATGTGCAGCCATCGCGGGACCCCGTTGGCCGTGTCCTGCGGCCAGGCACGTGGCCGTGGCGTACCTCCAGGTCTGTGACAGTGCCTGGGGCCTCCGGCGGGAGGAATGCCACATCTTCCAGACCATAGACATGTTCGGTGAGTCCTCCCGGGGCAAGGTGTCCCCGCTGAGCCACTGGGGCTCATCCCTGGACAGCGCCAGTGTTCCTTCGCGGAGCCAGCCGCGAGGCTGAGCCCCGGGGCACAGGGCCGCCTGAAGCGGGGGGGCGGGTGGAGGTGGGGGGCCGGCACACAGGGCCCAGGTCTTGTGAGACCCCATGGGTGGTGGGTGTGAAGCATATCCACGTTCACTGCGGTGTCCGGGTCGGGCCTGCCTCTGGGGTGTGGGTCACACTGTTTGGCCCCGCCTGACACGCAGGCTGCCAGGTCCCGCGGGGCACGTCGTTGCGGCCCCAGAGGCTATTCCAGGGCAGGGCCAGCGCCAGCGCCCGCAAGCCTGCGCGCTTCAGGCTGGCTAGGAAGAGGGGGCCACGCCAGCAGCCTTCAGCCTGCTTCCTTGCCAACCCGCAGACAGCCCCTGAAAGCCGCAGCTCCCAGCTGTGGCAAGCAGACAAGTGGTCCCTGGTTTTCGCATCAGCTGGCGGAGCGCCGCGCACCAGAGCGCTCTGGAACGCTCTGCGTGTCCTGGGTGTTCCGTGTGCCGGGGGGAGGCCTGAGTCGCCGGCCTGGACGCCTCTCCCAGCGACCACAGCATTCTGTCTGGGAAGCCCGGCAGTTGAGAGACCCAGGGGTCCTGTGGGTGTTGGAGGGGTGGGGCCGGCACACAGGGCCCAAGTCTTGTGAGATCCCATGGGTGGTGGGTGTGAAGCATATCCACGTTCACTGTGGTTTCTGGCTTGGGACGGTCCCCTGAGTTGGGACACAGTGTTTGGCCCTGAGACACAGCCTGCCAGGCAGGCTATTCTAGGGCAATTGCCTGTAAGCCTGCAAGCTTCAGGCAGGCTAGGAAGCGGGGTCCACACCAGCAGCCTTCCACCTGCTTGCTACACAACCTGCAGACACCCCCTGAAATCCGCAGCTCCCAGCTGTCGCATGTTCCTGAGGCTTTGGCCATTATGGTGAGTACTCCCATGGAAAGGTACTCCTTTGAGCCTCACAGTGTCTCTCTAGTTCATAGCCATGTGTCCACCCTGCTGCCACTTGTCCTGAATCTGTATGGGAGAATGTGATGGGCTGAAGCAAGGCACCGTGCTCAATGGTGTGAGTCCCCAGCTTGTAGCATCTGGAGTATCTCTCTGGTCAGTTCGGGTCTGCTGGTTGGTTCAGCCCCTGGACTTTGAGTTTTACCTGTATCCCCTGAGATCTCCACCATGAGTTCATTTCATGTCATGTCATCCTAAGCACCTCCTCCATTGAGAGTTGTGGAGTTGTGAGGCCCAAGGCCTCTCCTGTGTGACATTCATGCGTTGGTGTCTCTCACTTGGTTGATTCCTTGATTCTTAGGTCTTGCCTGGCTCCACTTGACTGTGCTCTCAGGTCATGGTACCCAAGGCAGGTGGAGCAACATCACACTGGCCTCTGGGCCTCCCACCAGTGAGGCACCAGTGAGGTACCTGTCTGGACTGTGGTGTAGGAGCAAAGGACATATGTGCCAATTGCTGTCTCCCTTGAGATTCATGCCCTGGTTGGCACTCCCTTCTGGCCATGGTCCCAGGTGTCCTCATCCACCTCTGGCTCCTAGAAATCCCTGAAGTAAACCACGTGGATGAGTAAGTTCATGAGTCCTCTAGAAAGCTTACCCAATCGTCAAGTGTTCCACCACCCACCACCAGGCTCTGTGTTTAAACCCTCGGCCTGAGAGGGCCTGCTGATGTATAAGGTTTCTGGGTGGCTCCAGAAGTCCCAGTGGACCAGAGGCTCTATAGACTTGATGGCTCTGTTCAGTGGCAGTACACACACACAAAATGGTGTGTCACCGGCACCTGAACACCGGGTGGGAGAGGATTGGATTTCAGCCTTTCCTCCCGGAGGTCATTTAACTACTGGTGGTTGTGACATGGGCGAGTGGGGGGTTCTTAAGGTAGTCTAAGGGTTTGCACACACCCGGGACAGAGTAAGTGTACGTGATATCCTGCCAAAACACAGAGAAACCAAGAGAGTGGGATCCCCTGGCTCCCAGGAAGGTAGACTAGCTGGTGTCTTTATGGTTTACCCTTTTGTGGTCCTTATTGTGGTAAAACAGGTTAAGCCACCACCTGCAACACTGGCATCCCATTGGGTATCAGTTTGTGTCCCAGCTGCTTCAACTTCAACTAATGGCCTCTCTCTCTCTCTCTCTCTCTCTCTCTCTCTAACTCTGCATTTCAAATAATAAATAAATAAATAAATAAATCTTTAAAAAACAAAAAAACTGGCTGGCGCCATGGCTCAATAGGCTAATCCTCTGCTGTGGCGCCAGCACACCAGGTTCTAGTCCCAGTCAGAGCGCCAGATTCTGTCCCGGTTGCTCCTCTTCCTGTCCTGCTCTCTTGCTGTGGCCCGGGAGTGCAGTGGAGGATGGCCCAAGTGCTTGGGCCCTGCATCTGCGTGGGAGACCAGGAGAAGCACCTGGCTCCTGGTTTCGGATCAGCGCGGTGCACTGGCCGCAGCACGCCGGCCGCAACGGCCATTGAGGGGTGAACCAACGGAAAAGGAAGACCTTTCTCTCTGTCTCTCTCACTGTCCACTCTGCCTGTCAAAAAACAAACAAACAAAAAACTTACCTTTTTTTTTGCCTCCCTTGATACTCCTGAGTCAGACACTCACTCTCCCAATGCATGTAAATTTACCTGTAGCATTCCAGTCAGATACTGTGTGACACAGTTACTTGTACTGGGATCTTAATGTGCCTTTTACTGTCTGATTTTTATTTGTAGTGTACCAGATGTACGAAGAGAAGGTAGCAGGTTATCTTGGTCCTAACAAACCCAAGTAAGTCTCCAACTTCTGTTACTGCTTACTTTGTTTCAACACTTGGGGAATCTAACTCCAGGGAGAAAACAGCATGTGTTGGGGTGACTCACCGTTACCCCTTAAGCCCATAGCCGAATGTTTGTAGGAACAAAGTTATTCCTTATCATGTGAGCGACCTGCAAGTTTCCATTGTTTTCCCCACTCTCTCCCTTGGATTAACTACAGAGCCTGTGCAGGTCAACCAGCCTACTCAGGGAGTTTGGTCAGTCCTGGCCACTACCCTGCCATACTCAAGGCAGGGTGATCCTTTTCTGCCCTCAGCTTGTTGCCCATGTGTATTTTTGCCTTCCACTGATAACACAAAATGAGATGGGACCTGACCTCATCAGATGGTGGGCAACAGGCTGGGGTGAGAAACCTGGGGTGCTAAAGCACCTCCTCAGCAGGTGCATCTTTGTGACTGAAGCCTGCACACTTCATGCCTTCATTGTTTTCTCACATGACCAGTAGTAGGTTCTGTTTGGCTCATTAGTATCAGTGGAGAGGGTGCCAATGGTGGGTGGCACAGCCTTTTTCCTGAGTAGCTCACTGCCCCTGTCCCTCAGTCTCGGGCTCTGTCTGCACTCCCACTGTGAGGCTTCAGCTTGATCAAGCAGTGAGCCACTGGTGGATGGGCTCCCTTTCCTTTGGTGACAGAACCTTTGCCCTGCTGTTTAAGCCAGGAAGGTCGTGGGAAGATTGCTCCTTTTGTTAATTTCTTATTCCCTTCTGCACCTCCAGGGTCTGTCTGAAGCTGCCCAAACCAGAACAGCCTGAGTTCCTGCTCAGCCCAGTGGCATGTCCATATCCATCTTTAACCATGCCATCACTTGTGGATTGCACCTGCCGCACTGCTGGCAGTGACTGGGGTCGTGTGCAGGTGCCACACTTCTGCCTGTTTGTTTCTGCTAGTGAGTATTCCCAAGGAAATTTGGCCAAGTTCATAATGATCTCCCTGTGTGAAAACAGGACATGTACCCTACACAGTTCTCCCCTTGCCATTCAGTGTAGTTTTGCACACCGAGCCTAAGGCACATTGTGTTCAGGGAGTTGTATGATAGAGTTAAGGCACTGTCATCATTTAGTCTGCAGCCATTACTTCCTGTTTGTCCAAATTCATGTACACATCACCCAGTATTTACTCTCATGTCTGTACTTAAGCCCCTCCTCTCCTTTCAGGTGGCACATTGAAGGCTTGTCCTCAGAAACACTTGAATGGAATACTAGGTTGTCACCTGTCGAAGGTGCCAGTCTCACATGCAGAGTTGTGGGTGAGACTACAGGGATACACCTGTCCTCAAGTCCCAGTGGATCCGCAATTAGCCTCTGGTAGCAATGAGGCCAGGCGTAGTGATTCCTCCAGCACCTGCAGCTTTGCAGAAAACATCGATTCAAGAAACCAGTTGTTGCTCCACAAAGGTAAGAAAGAAAAGGCCACAGGAAGCTTCCATTGATACATGGATTTTCACTGTGTATGGGTGAAGGAGACAATTCAGACCCCGTCGTGTTCTCTGAGGGTCAAGTTGAAGTCTGCAGTGCTGTAACATGGTAAAGTGAGCCAATGCCTGATTTTAAGCATCCGCTCTGCCTCCAGTCATCAGCTTCCCAAATATTTTATGTTGAACTTGGCCAAGTTACTTATCACAGGCATTTATATCTCATCCCCCATTTCAGGCTGTGCTGTTATTAAGCAACATAATTTCCAGAGTGACTGGCTAAGAATAGCTCAGTATCCTCTTTAGGTGTTTAGTGACTCGTCGTTTAATTTGCATATAGTTGAAGACTTAACAAAGTGATCTTGTACTTTTGTTCCACGTGCAAATCAACCATGTTTGTAGTGTAACTTCCCAGAGACTGTCTTTGATAAGACAAGTGACTGACTTACTTTCCCTCCCTCCATCCCTCCCTCCCTCCCTTCCCTTTTCTATTTATTTTTCCTTTCTCCCTCTGTTGCTCTTTTTTCTCCCTTCTATCTTCCTTCCCTCCCTCCCTTCTTTCCTTTCTCTCTCTCTCTTTTTCTCACTCTCACTCTCTCTCTTTCCTTCTTTCTCTTTCTCCTTTCATTCTTGCTTCCTCAACATTCCCTTCTAAGCCAATTTTCCTCTGTCAGACACTTTCAGCCACAAGGTGAGAGCCATATTCTTGTCAGTGTACATTCTAGGCCTTTACCTTGATTTCCTGATTAATTCAACTTATTTTCTGGCCCCCTCTCTTTTTTAAATGAACAGGAGCCTTCATACATGAAGTGATCAGGCTCATTTCTGACTCTTCCTGGAATTTATCAGCTCCGCTCATCTCCATAGCATGTCCCAGTTTCTTGCCCACAGTGATCCACTTCTGCTCAGATTTCCTTACAACTGAGCCTTGGACCCTCCTGCCCATCCTACCTGGATCCTGTCCATCCTTTTCCCTGCCTCTATGGTTGCCTGTGGCTTATGTCTGCTGCAGCCTACCTTCTAGAAAGGAGGGGAATGGTGTGCTCAGGAGGAGGAATATGTCTCATGTGACAGTGACCACTAGTTGACTCTTTGGGAGAGAGCTCCTGGCCAGTGCTCAGTAAGAGACAGGCATACATACTCTCTGCCACATGTGCCATGATACCTTGTCCCTCCCAACTCCTCTTTTCTTCTCCTGATCTTTTACTTCTCCTTGGATTCTCACAGTACCAGCACAGCTCACCCACTGGCTCAGTCACTCTCTTCCTGTTCACACTCAAGGTCACTCCGTTCCTGTTCACATTCAAGGGATAATTGGCTGAGCAATGGTAGGTTCAAGGCAAGACTTTGCAGTCTAGGGTCCTTTGAAAGCACTTTGCAGATTTTGACACCAACCATACTGTGCTTTCTATCTGGTGCATAGCAGGTTGTATTACTGACAACATATATTTCTCTCACTCTTCCTAAATCTTTTTTTTTTTATTTCCAACCTATTGTGAAAGCTGTCAGAATGCAGGAGCCCAAATTTCCAAAACCCCAGTTAAGGTCATTTTTTGATATAGTATGTACACACACACATGACACTGAGAGTGCTTCAGGATGTTCATGGAATGCCATGGGTATTGTGGCATAGTGGATAACTGCCCCTTTGGGCTGTCCATATTCTTTGTCAGTGTACCTAGGTACAAATTTGTCTTCTGTCTCTCATCCAGCTCCTTGCTACTGTGTAGCCTGGGAGGCAGCATGTGATGACTCAGTTGGTTGGGTGCCTGCCCTTGATGTGGGAGGCTAAGATAATGTTCCTGGCTCCTAGGTTTGGCCTAGCCCATTCTTAGCTGTTGCAGATATTTGGGGAGTGGAAAAGTACATGGTTGATTCCTCCCTCTCACTCTGACATTCTGTGTAACTGTCACTCTTGGATTTTCATTGAAATGAAAATAAATGGGGCCGGTCTCGTGGCGTAGTTGGTGAATCCTCCACCTGCAGTGCCAGCATCCCATATGGATGCTGGTTCTAGTCCCATCTGCCCCTTTTCCAATCCAGCTCTCTGCTATGGCTTGGTAAAGCAAGATGGTCCAAGTGCTTGGGGCCCTGCACCCACATGATAAACTGGGAGCAACCATCTGGCTCCTGGCTTTAGACAGGCAAATCTCCAACCATTGCTGCCATCTGAGGAGTGAACCAATGGAAGGAAGACCTTTCTCTGTCTCTCCCTCTCACTGTCTGTAAGTCTCCCGCTCAAATAAAAATAAATAAATAAATCTTTTTTAAAAAGAAAAAGAAAATGTTTAAAAAGATGTTCATGGAAAATGGAATTAAACATGAGTTCTGTATGTCACAGAAACTTTTTGAAATCCTTGCACTGTGTGGTCATAATATGCATTTCCATAAACTTTCTAAAGAACACTCCAAAATATATTTGTCCTTGTATGTTCCTGAATTCCATGATATATATCATATTATTTTCAGTAATGTTACATGTAATATGCTCATATGAAGTGTATAATGATACATGTTTTTCATCTTCTCCAATTTTCCTTATAATTTTGCTCTTATGGGTTTTCCTATGATTTTTATATAACTCGATTTTTAGGTGACATCTCCATTCCTAGTAGCACAACCTCTGTCTAGTATGATTAGCCCATGCTTTTGTCCTATGAATCTGAGAACTATTTGTTTTCATTTGCTCCAATTTTCTTAATTTTTTTTTGTCAAACAGCAGTAGGTTTGCCTATTGGCAATCTTATCCTGAAATCATTTCTAAGGAAGGCCAATGATAAGAAAATGCAAAAGCATCTCTATTGGCTTCCCTTGCCCCTTGGACTTTCTTGTCCAAGGTCACTTTGCTTATCCAGTGTCCACCTTGGTGGAAGTGTGTGTCAGAATAAGGTCATATTGGCTGGTGCTGCGGCTCACTAGACTAATCCTCCACCTGCGATGCCAGCACCCCAGATTTTAGTTCCGGATTGGGCACTTGATTCTGTCCCGTTTGCTCCTCTTCCAGTCCAGCTCTCTGCTGTGGCCCAGGAAGGCAGTGGAGAATGGCCCAAGTGCTTGGGCCCTGCACCCGCTTGGGAGACCAGAAGGAAGCACCTGGCTCCTGGCTTCAGATTGGCACAGTGCACTAGGGGGTGAACCAATGGAAGGAAGACCTTTCTCTTTCTCTCTCTCTCTCTCTCACTGCCTAACTCTTCCTGTCAAAAAGAAAACAAAAGAATAAGGTCATATAACAGTGGATATTGTTGCCTGTGGTTTCATTTGCAGTGCCTGTTACTGATGGCTATCTTGCGAGCAATCCCAAGCAGGATAATACCATTGAGGGGTCAGCTACCAGCAACCATGCAAGCCAAGTCACTGTCCACCCTGTGGGCTCCGATGTCCTAAGAAAAAGATGATCCAAAGAAAATTCCATTTTAGCAAATGGAGATTATCATACCGTATCCCTGGATTTCGACTTGAGGTGCAGAGGTAATCGCAGCCGTTATTCTTAGATGCATTTATTCTGTATTGCTCTCTATATATATGAGTGCTTTACCTCATTTCCCTCCCCCCAATTTTTTCTTTCCCTGATTTGTTCTCTCCATCTGCAGTAACTTCTGTCTAGTCTTCCTTCTATTTTCCATAGAAAAATGCCCTGGTTCTTGATTTCTTTCAATATAGAGATAGGGAAAGAGTCCAAGATGCAAAGTCATAGTATTTTATTAGGCCAGTGAGAGAACAAAGGGAGGTGGGAGAAAGCTGCAGAGCTAGATGTCCAGTAGGGGAGTGTAATCGTGGGTCTCTAATAGGTACCCTAACTTCAGTTTCATCTGTGTTACTGGTGTGGCCACCAGGACATGGGTGTGGGAGTCACTGGGCTGTGATCTACCTGGGAAGGGGCTGTGGTAGGAGGGGTCCAGCCATTCTGTGCATTTTTTGAGCACTGAAGGCACATGATTGGTAGAGGCCTGGTGAGCATGCAAAATGGGAAGCATCATAAGTGGGGGAGAAGGGAAATTCACCAGCTTCCAGAGCATGCCTGTCCCTGCCTAAATCCTCCTATCATTACACATGAATTGCCAACCAGTCACTGTCATCTGCATCTCCTTGGCTGTACTCTAAGCTCTGCTCTTTCCCCATAGCTGCTGTCCTCATTATCCCACTCACAGACCTAGAGTCAAGTTTGCCTTCAGATCCAGTGTTCAAGGGATTACCATGACCCAGTAGCCACACTTCAGGGACACACTCAAGCTACAATGAGGCAGACTTCATTAGATGGTACAATAAAGAGACATTGGTCAAAAGGTAAACTTAAGGGAGGGTGTTATGGCACATGCAGTCAAGCCACGGCTTGGGATGCCTGCATCCGTATTGGTGTGCTGCCTCAAACCCTGGCTACTGTACTTGCAATCTAGCTTCATAGTAATGGTTCTGGGAAAGACATGGATGATGACCCACATATTTGGGTCCCTGCCCCCTAGTTCTGCACTCCTCACTAGTGAATCAGTATATTTAAGTTCTTTCTCCCTCTGTTTCTATTCTTTCACTCTTTGTCTTTCCTTCTCTCTGTCACTTTGTCTTTCAAATAAATAAATGAATGTTTTCAAAAAGACAACCCTCTAATATTCACACAAAATATTATTTTCTAAATTAGACATAAGCACAGGGCTTCAAAAAATGTGTAGAGCAAGACAAGCTTAGACATTCTGACTTCTCCTACTAGTTTTGGGTCTGGTTTGCCGCAGTTTTTCTAGATCCTTGAGATGCATTGATAGCTTATTTGTTTGGTGCCTTTTTAATTTCTTGATGTAGGCACCTATTGCTATAGACTTTCCTCTTAACACTTTTTTGCTGTATCCCATAAGTTTTGATATGTTGTGTTGTTACCTTCATTTGCTTCCAGAAAGTTTTTGATTTCCCTTTTGATTTCTTCTATGACCCACTGTTCATTCAGGAGAATGTTGTTCAGTCTCCAGGTATTTGCATATGCTCTAGAAATTCCCGAGTTGCTAATTTCCAGCTTCATTCCATTGTGATCTGAGAAGATGCATTGTATGACTTGGATTCTTTTGAATTTGCTGAGACTTGTTTTATGGCCTCGTATGTGCTCAATCCTAGAGAACGTTCCATGCACTGCTGAGAAGAATGTACATTCTGCAAGTATAGGATTAAAGGTTCTGTAGATATCTGTTAAATCCATTTGGTCTATAGTGTCGATTCAATCTGCTGTTTCCTTGATTTTTCTGTCTGGTTGATCTGTCCATTACTGAAAGTGGAGTATTGAAGTCCCCCAATACTATTGTATTGGAGTCTAAGTCTCCCTTTAAGTTCCTTAACATATCTTTTAAATAACCCAGTGCCCTGTGATTAGGTGCATATAAGTTTATAATAGTTACATCTCCCTGTGGAATTGATGCCTTAATCATTATGTAGTGCCCCTCTTTGTCTCTCTTAACAGTTTTTGTGTTACAGTTTATTTTGTCTGATATTAAGATGGCTACACCAGCCCTTTTTTGGTTTCTGTTGGTGTGGAATATCTTTTTCCAACCTTTCACTTTCAGTCTGCATGCACTTTTGTTGGAAAGATGTGTTTCTTGTAAGCAGCAAATAGATGGGTTTCTTTTTTAATCCATTCAGCCAGTCTGTGTCTTTTAACTGGGGAGTTGAGGCCATTAACGTTCAGTGTGACTATTGATAAGTAGTGACATTGCCCTGCCATTTTCCCAAAGATATTTCTAATATATACTTTGACTTTCTGTGATCTTTTACTGAGGAATTTTCTTCCTTTACCTTCTTTCGTATTGATGACCGTGTTTCTATGTTTCTGTGTGTAACACATCTTTAAGCATCTTTTGCAGGGCTGGACAAGTGGTGACACATTCTTTCAGTTTCTGTTTGCTGTGAAAGTTCTTTATTTCACCTTCATTCACAAATGAGAGCTTTGCAGGATATAATATCTGGGTTGGCAGATTCTCTCAGTACTTGGGTTTTTAATTTGTTCTATTGAATTCTTCATTTCATTTCAATTTCTCTTCAATCTCTCAATTTCATGTTCTATTAAATTCCTCATTTCATTTTGATTCTTCAAGATTTCATTTTCACAAGAGAAATTTTCTGTCTTGTCCTTCATGGACTTCAGCAGTTCATGCATTTGTTTTAGATTACATCTAAAGAGTCTTATCATAAATTTTTTGTTCCATTTCTTGCATTTCTCCCATCTCATCATCTTCTTAATCTTGTATTGGAGTGTCATTTTCTTTTGGGAGCATCATGTTTTCTTCCTTTTTCTTGTTTCCTCGATTTTTCCGTTGTTGTTTGGCATTGTGGAAATATGCTTTGGTTTCTTCTTTTTTTTTTTTTTCACTATGGTGGCTTTTCTTGTTATACTATGACTCTAGATTAAGTGGACTGTCTGTGGTTGGTGTGGCCAGAGAGCTCTGTTCAGTTCTTCAGGGTTAAGGGTGTGCTTAAGGTGACACACCCAGGTTTGGCATGGTAAATCAATCTCCCTTTCCCCCACCTCTTTCTTTGTCTCTCTCTCTCTCTCTTTCTCTCTCTCTCTTTTTAATCAGAAGGGAAGTAATCAGCTGAGCACTTCTCCTTGATGGCGATCAGTGCCTGAGCGCTATCCCCAGTGGATACAATATTCATCTGCTCTGTCCCAAGAACCACACAAAAGATCTGTGCAGTCCTCAGTGTAAGCTTAGAATCCCCTGCAGTGTCTCTCACTGAGTAGCCAGGGCCGCCCGAGCTTGTGACATCTCCCAAGGAGACTACTCACATCTCAGCCAAACCATGAGTTCTCCCACACACCCCACACACCCTCCATTGTGTTTTTTTTTTCACAGTCCCAGTTCATAAGTTCCACACATTCACTAGGTCTAGTCTCTTGTTATTACTCCCCACCAGTCAGGTTTTTCCGCTTGGGTGGGCACAGCCCCAAGCTGGTGCAACTGTTATGTATGTCCAAAATGGCGCCTGCTGTATTGTCTCACTCGCTTTTATAAGGTGTGTGGAGAGTGAATCGTGTCCATACCATCCCTTTTATTTTTTCTCTCTTCTAGTTAGGCTTGTGTACTTTCCCCCATGGGGCTACAAGCCTTGTTCCCTCTAGGTTCTTCCTGCTGCTTTTCCACCAGTGTCTCGGGCTACTATGGTTTTGTCTCACCTCTCTTTCCAGCGCTGGTGCAGAGACGGCAGCTGGGGTCCCGAACCGTGGGAGTCCGTGCCCTCCACGTAGATCCACGGTGTCCCTCTAATTCCAGAAGACTTTCCTCTACTGTTTTTTCCCTATCTGTTCCCTAAGACTACACTATCTCCACTTTTAATAAACTGTATTTCCCTGGACTTTCAGTGAGCTCCTTCCCTATTCCATCATCTTGGAACTTCCATCAACTTCTGGCTTTTTTTTATCTCTCAATGCCAATTTCAAATATTCAGGTCAAAATCTCGAAAATGAGTTATTTGACATTTTGTGATCTGATGGTTGTTTATAGCCCTTGTCTCTATTGTTAAGGAACATTGTTTTTTTTTTTTTTCTTCTTACTGTTTGTTGAACTCTTACTTAGTGTAGGATTAATTTTATGAGTATAAAGTAAACTGAAAGTAGATAATTGTAAATCTTGAGAGAGTGAATAAGAGAGGAAGGAGGAGGAAGTATAGGAGTGTGGGCAGGGGGAAGGGTAGGATGGGAAGTCTCACCATGTTCCTAAATCTGTATATATGAAACGTATACACCTTGAATAAATTAAAATAAAAAAGAGAATGAGTTAGTTATTGAACATGAGACCACAAAATAGAGCAGCTCATTGTAGTGAGTTAACTCGGGGAAAACCCATGAAGATCCAAGAAGATAAGCAAGGCCCAGGCCAATCTTTGCTCCAGTGATTCTAATTGAGAACGAGCCTCCTTGCCTTGGGCAAGTAAAGTGAGAAGGAGAGTGACCTCCCTCAGCCTGTCAGAGGGAAGATGAAAAACTTGAAGGCCAGGGGGGATGAAGTTCATGTTTAATAGATGGAAGGAAAGGAAAGGAATGGGATAAAGTAGGTGAGGACTGCTGAGCAGTTCTAAATGACGCTGTGCTTTTAGTAAACTCTGGGTACACTTTGAACTAGCTTGGATGCTTTGACCCAGTACCCTGGATTCTGTCTTCAATGGACAGGGAAATGCCAACGTTCAATTTCCTGTCCTCTTGGTTAACTCCCTTGGAGTTTGACTTTATTCCTTTTTCTCCTGGACAAAAAACACTTGCCAGATTTCTCTCTAAGGCCTTATTCCTATTTCTATGTACTCAAGGTGACTCAACAGCCTCTTAAGACTATTGAAGCCTCCAGATTGGATTTTCTCCTCTCCATTCTTCAGATTTCTAAAAAAGAGCTGGAGACAAGGATTAAGAACAATTCTTATGTCTTTAGTTACATCTCTTTTGTTAAAGGACAGACTGGACTTGGATGTTTCTGAGATTACCGTTGGCTCACACATCTACTCTATTCCCATAGTCACCTATTCTTCCCTCTGAAACACAGAATTATAATAGTTGAATTTACTGAAGGAGGTCCCTTCGCTTTCAACTGTCTTTCTGAATGTGCATGATTGGTGCTAGGAACATCTATCCTTAGGAGATGGGAAAAGACATGGGCAAGACCATGGAGAAGGATTAGGAGGAAAATGGGTGTTATCACCAGCTTCTAGTTAGAAGAGTGCAGGACTAGGCCGGCGCCGTGGCTCACTTGGCTAATCCTCCACCTGCAGTGCCGGCACCCCTGGTTCTAGTCCCAGTTGGGGCACCAGATTCTGTCCCGGTTGCTCCTCTTCCAGTCCAGCTATCTGCTGTGGCCCAGGAAGGCAGTGGAGGATGGCCCAAGTGCTTGGGCCCCGCACCCCATGGGCGACCGGGGGGGCATGGAGGGGGAGCACCTGGCTCCTAGCTTTGGATCGGTGTAGCGCGCCGGTCATAGCAGCCATTTGAAGAATGAATCAATAGCAGGAAGACCTTTCTCTCTGTCTCTCTCTCTCACTGTCCAACTCTGCCTGTCCATAAAAAAAAAGAAGTGTGCAGGACTCCCATATTCTGCATTGCAGGCTGGACTCTAAGTTTAGGGAGGCATTCTACCCTGTAGGTATCATTTTCCCACTTCAGTCAACCTGAAGCTCATCTTCTCCACATGTTTCTCTGTCTCTGGCTTCTGTGACTACTGGGCATTCCCTCCAGACTCAGCTATCAGCAAGACCTGACCTCTTATTGAATTTCTCTCTCTTTCTCTGTCTCCCTCTCAGATATCAGGAACTGCTGGAGCTACAGGGACCTGCACTGGCTACAATGAAAGGGTGCAAGTAAAAGTAGCTTTCCTCATTAATGAGCAACATCTTGATAGAAAATCCAGTCATGTCCTACCCTATCCACTCAAGATTTGTTCTCCATCAGGATGGAAGACATTGTTTCAGTCTCATATTATTGTTACCACCTAAGGACACCTAGGCCTGAGACCTTAACTTGGGCACCTCTCAATTCTCACCACATAACCAACACGGCAACATCCAGGAGTGAGTAACACGCTAAGTCAGACAAGTGTTGCCTCCAGCTAGAAGCAGAGTTTTTGCTGTTCAGCCTGAATTGAATGAAGAAGCATTTGTCAGACAACTACAGAATGCTGAGCATTGACCAACGGATGTGGCTTTGACAGAAATTTTCACTGACAACAAAAAGAAGCGGTATTTTTTGCTTAAGGCTTAAGAGTACGTTACTGTATTCCTTTAGTCCTGTGGAAACAAAAGCATCTCCTCGCCTTGTTGTCACTGACAATGGTGACATTACCTTGTTTTGGAGGGCATGTTAGTTTCTGGTCTCAGGAATTTGACAATTTCCTCATGATTCGCTTGGCCCTAAACATTACTCCCAAACAGTACTCCCTGTTACTTCACATCTGGAGGCAAAGCATGGACAGTTTGTCCATCAACATTACGGTCACACTAGGATTGGATATCAAGTTACAGTCATTTTGATATGTATCCAAAAGATACTTTACTCTTATATTATCAAGAACCGTAGAGACTGGCAATTGAAGAATGTATAGATACTCTATTCTCTATTGATCTTTCTGCAGAGATTTTGCCACCAATTACTCATCTCTGCCTGGATTGGTTCTTATATTCATTTGTGTACATTGGAAATCTTCTATTTTATTATTTCTATATACTAATATTTATTGAATTTCTGTAGTATAAATGAACATCCCTTCTATTATTCCATACCAATAAATATTTTGTTTTGTTTGCTATCATTGTGGTCCTGGTAATTATTTAAATTAAGTATTACAGTCGCCAGCAGCGTGGCTCACTAGGCTAATCCTCCACCTGCAGCACAGCACGCCAGGTTCTAGTCCCGGTCAGGGCACTGGATTCTGTCCTGCTCGCTCCTCTTCCAGTCCAAGCTCTCTGCTTTGGCCTGGAAGGGCAGTGGAGGATGGCTCAAGTGCTTGGGCCCTGTACCCACATGGAAGACCAGGAGGAAGCACCTGGCTCCTGGCTTTGGATTGGCGCAGCATGCCAGCCATGGCAGCCATTTGAGGGCTGAACCGATGGAAAGGAAGACCTTTCTCTCTGTCTCTCTCTCTCTCACTGTCTAACTCTACCTGTCAAAATATTGAGTTTGTTATTATCTTACCTTTTTTTTTCAATAGAGAAACACTTTTTCTTTGACATTAGAGTGAGCTAACACATTCGTGTGAGCTACTGTTTAGATGCCTGTGTCACATCTCTCAGCATATTACAGCTGCTATAACAAAATACCACACTCTAGGGCCGGCGCCGCGGCTCACTAGGCTAATCCTCCGCCTAGCGGCGCTGGCACACCGGGTTCTAGTCCCGGTTGGGGCGCCAGATTCTGTCCCGGTTGCCCCTCTTCCAGGCCAGCTCTCTGCTGTGGCCAGGGAGTGCAGTGGAGGATGGCCCAGGTGCTTGGGCCCTGCACCCCATGGGAGACCAGGAAAAGCACCTGGATCCTGGCTCCTGCCATCGGATCAGCGCGGTGCGCCGGCCACAGCGGCCATTGGAGGGTGAACCAACGGCAAAGGAAGACCTTTCTCTCTGTCTCTCTCTCTCACTGTCCACTGCTGGGAGGTCTGTGGTATTTGATGAGGGCTCCTTTCCTGGTATAAATGGTTTCTTCAGTGTATATCCTCACATGATAGCAGGTCAAGGTAGCTCCTGGTAGCCTACTTTTTTAAGAGAACTAATAATATTCATGAGGGCTCTGCCCTGATGATTTGATGAACTCTCAAAAGATGCCACTCCTAATACTAAGACTTTAGAGGTTAGTATTTGCACCTATTCATATGAGAGTCCACACACACACTTGGATCATGCCACCCCCTCTCTGATCTGATGAGCCAAGGGGGAAGCAGAAGGAGGATAGAGAGATAGGATATGGAAATTGGGGAGGGATAAGGATGGTGAGGTAAATATCAAATATTTTCCTCCCTGGGCAAAAATGTCTGTCCTTCTTTCTGACCTCCATCTCATTCAAATCTGTGATCACCCCTCACTCTGGTCTCCATCCCTCAGCCTCTTTCTTTCCACAAAATAGCCATGCAGCCCTGCTGTCTTCCCCTGGTGCTGCAGACTCTGCATTTTTACCGATACTCTCCAAGTCCCAGTGCCTGAGGACTCTACCCTCCCACCCCAATTCTCCACAGACTCTTGTCTTCTGGTTTTAGAGGGCCCAAAGCACAAGAATGTCCCTGTGAAATGCACATACAGATGGAGTGGTTGGATCCCTCTGCCTAGCTGGAAGCCAGCTGTGCCAGCCAGTTCTTTCCTGAAGAGATGTGTGAAGACCACAAGATTGCATGAGATGTGCAAGATGTGTTTAGACACCACACTGATAATGTCCTTGTCACTGAACCCTGAATCTATTAATCCATCACATTATTGCAATTTACTTCATTTTTTTTTATTATCATTGCCTAGAATGCATATCTGGCTTTACACATTTTTAACCCTAACCAAAAATGCTTGCACTGCTCTAACCCAGGAACCCAGAACTCCAGTCCTGGTGCAATCTATAGACATGCTTGCTCCTATGCCCAAACAATGAAGACCAATGGCCACATTGTGTCCAGGGGTAAAAACTTCGAAACAACCTAAATATCCACCATTAGTAGAATGAAGAATCATGCTGTGGCATGTTTTTAGCAATGAAAATGTCTGAATACTTGACAATTACTACACTCAACACTGTGAGAAAAAAACCATTGAGTGCACACAAGTGTAACAGCAAACTCCAATATTAAAACTACATTCTTTGCTGTGGACTCTGATTAGGACTCTGGTTACATATCAAAATTAAACAATACAAATGTAGAATTAGTTAGGTCAAACGAGCTCTATGGAAGCATCCTCAAGGGCATTCTAGTTTGAGACTTAATTTGAGAAACTGGCATAATCAATCCTAAGAGCAGGCATACAAAATATTGAAAGAGAGATACTACAATTTCCCACATACTTTTTACCTGATAAAAGCAAATGTAGTTTTTAAAAGAAATTTAAAACAATTACCCAGATAGAATCAAAAAGAGAAGATTCAACATTTTTAGACGTTGGTCTTTTGTTATTTGGATATTGAAGCCTTTCTGGTTTTTGTGGATTTTTTATCTTTCATTTTTTTTATAAATATAAATTAAACATGGAACAGCCTCTAACACTCAGGTGGGAGAAGAGGATAGAGTTCCTGGCTCCTGGCTTTGGCCTCCCCCAGATCTAGCTGCTAGAGCCCTTTTGTATTCGGGGAATGAATCAGTCTCTCTCTCTTTATATCTCTGTTCCATGACTTTCAAATAAATAAATAAATCTGTCTTTTATAAAAGCCAAATTGATTTAAAATGTTCTAAAGTTACTGGCAGTAAGATGACTAGGTCTCTGAATGTCATAGTAATTCTCAATATTAGAATAACCGGTCCCACCAATACATATGATTCCCTTCTTTACGTGGTAAAGAATGGTTATGGCTGGCGCTGCGGCTCACGTGGCTAATCTGCCACCTGTGGCGCCAGCACCCCGGGTTCTAGTCCCGGTTGGGGTGCCAGATTCTGTCCCGGTTGATCCTCTTCCAGTCCAAGCTCTCTGCTGTGGCCTGGGAGGGCAGTGGAAGATGGCCCAAGTGCTTGGGCCCTGCACCCACATGGGAGACCAGGAGGAAGCACCTGGCTCCTGGCTTCGGATCGGTGCAGTGCTCCAGCCACAGCGCACTGGCCATAGTGGCCATTTGAGGGGAGAACCAACAGAAAGGAAGACCTTTCTCTCTGTCTCTCTCGCTCACTAACTCTGCCTGTCCAAAAAAAAAAAAAAAAAAAAAAAAAAACAAAGATTGATTGGCTGTAAGAATAACTTGCCCAGAGGTTTAGTTACTTAAAATTTATACATCTAATATTCCATTCTTATCACAATTACTACTAGCTCCCAGATGAGGCTCCAGAACTATATTTCCTGATAACGAAAGTGAGAAGAAAGTGACTCTGAATATATGATTATATCAAGGACCAGGAGGTTCCAAGATGGTGGAATAGGGAGGGAGCTTACTGATCTAGTCCAGGAGTAGATAGCTTAATAAAAGTGGAGATAGTGTAGTTTCAGGGAAGAGTTAGGGAAAAAAACAGCAGAGGAAACTCTTTCATAATTAGAGGGACACAGTGGACCTACATGGATGACATGGGTGCCCAGCAGCCGAGAGCATCTTCACCAGCGCTGGAAAGTGAGTTGAGATGAGACTGCAGTAGCCTGAGACACTGGTGGAAAAGTGGCAGGAAGAGCCTAGAGGTAACGAGGCTGAAGACCCCATGGGGGAAAGTACACCACCCTAACTAGAGGAGAGAAAAAATAAAAGGGATTGTACAGATACGATTGGTACAGATACAGATACTTTCTCCAGTCACCTTACAAAGGTGTATGAGCCCGTAGAGTGGGCACCATTTTAGACATATGTAACAGCTGCCCAGTTCTAGGCTGTGCCCGGCAATCAGCTGAGCAGAAAAACCTGACTCTCGTGGGGAGTAATAACAGGAGACTAAGACCTAGTGACTGTGTGGAGCTTCTGAAATGGGACTGTGAAAAAAAAAAAGCTGAGGGTGTGTGGAGAACTCACAGTGAGGGTGAGACTTTGAGTAGTCTCGGTTGGAGTTGCCACAAGCTGGGGCAGCACTGGCTAGCCGGTGAGAGACATTGCTGTGGAATCTGACTTACACTGAGGACTGCACAGATCCTTTGTGTGGTCCTTGGGACAGAGCAGAGAAATATACCCACTGGGGCTAGCACTCAGGCACTGATCGCCATCAAGGAGAAGAGCTCAGCTGGGCAGAATTACCTCCCTTCTGATTAAAAAGAGAGGGGGAGAGGGAGTTAGCACGCCAAATCTGGGTGTCACCTTAGCCACACCCTTAACCCTGAAGAACTGAACAGAGCTCGCTGGCTACACTCACCACAAGCCTCCAGAGATTCACTGAGAGCAGGCAGTCCACTTACCTACAGAGTGTAGTACAACGATAAAAGCTGCCACAGTAGAAAAAAAAAAAAGAAGAAACCAACGAGTATCCCCACAAATGCCGAACAACAAATGCAACAACTGAGGAAACAAGAATAAGGAAGACAACATGACACTCCCAAAAGAACATGACACTTCAATACAAGATTATGAAGATGATGAGGTAAAAGAAATGTAAGAAATAGAACTCAAAAAATTGATAAGAATATGTAGAAGTAATCAAAAACAAATGCATGAACTACTGAAATCCATGCAAGACATGACAGAAAATCTCTCTCGTGAAAATGAAATCTTAAGGAGGAATCAAAATGAAATGAGAAATTAATAGACCATGAAATTGAGATATTGAAATCAAAATGAAATGAAGAATTCAATAGAACAAATAAAAGACACATTTGAGAGCCTTAAAAACAGAATCAGTGAGGCAGAAGAGAGAATATTGGAGTTAGAAGACATAGCATAGGATAGTATACAGTGAAACCAAAGACAAGAAGAGGAAATTAGGAATCTAAGAAATATTGTTGGGAATCTACAGGATGCTATTTAAAAAACCAGCATTCGGGTTCTAGGAGTTCCTGAAGGCATGAGAGAGAGAAAGGATTAGAAGGCCTTTTTAGTGAGATACTAGCAGAAAACTAACTGGGTTTGGAGAAAGACGTCCAAGTACAGGAAGCACATAGAGCTCCCGATAAACATGACCAGAAAAGATCCTCACCAGGACACATTGTAATCAAACTCACCACA